TGGCAGTTTCAAAGAGGAAAGGGGAGCCACCAAGTCTGAGGACCTGAAGCAAGGAAGAAATGGGAGCTCAGGAAGAGACCGGGGGTGCGGGGAGGGGAGGCCTGGTGAGGAGGGAGACATCCAGCCCTCAACACCCAGAAGTGGGCCTCAGGCATGTCCTCCCTCCACCTCCCCCTTCCTTCCACCTTTTAAACCCAGCCCCAGTGACTACCACCTGGGATTGGTATCTCCACAGCCCAGGCCTGGCACGGTTTGCCCCAGACACTTGCAGGATGACAAATGGGTGGGTCGTTTCGGTGAGGACTGAAATAGCCCAAGCGCCTGCCCCAGTCCTCAGGAGCCTCCGCAAAGGGGCCTTTCCCAGCACCATTTGCTACCACAGAGCAAATACCCAGGCACATGGTTTCAAGACAGCCAGAGGGTCTGATTTCTCTAGAACAGACGCTGCCCTCCATACACCTTTTACATCTGAGTGGTTTGAATGAGCACTGTGAAGATGCTCACGGGCAGCCATCACTGGCCACAGCTGCCTCCCAAACTGCATGGCTTCACAATCCAGTGGTCTCTGAGCAGCCAAATTTCCCCACGCCCTTGAGAAGGGTTTAGCAAGGAGCTAAGACAGTTAACTGATTCTGAGGAGTCTGGTGGCCATGATAAGAAGACAAGCAGCACAAAATAGTGAGTGTAGGGATCGCAGACCCTGCAGTGGCGGCCAGCACAGAGGCTCCATGTTGGCGGGGGCCACAATGGACAGAGCAACAGCAACAGAGCAGAGCCCTCGTGTACCTAACATGTCTAACAGAGGTGCTGCCGACAGGGGAGGGGGACGGAAAAAAATCACGAACTGACAGTTTTAAAATGAAAAACAAAACACCCCTGAAAAAATACATATGGGGCCAGATTTTCCTAGAAATACTGGGCTTTCATTTTCTATCAGGTGGATTAAGTGGCATCAGGGCAAGAATAAAGTTGTATTTCCTGCACAGGGTTTTCTGGCTGGGGTGGGGACATCCAAACAGAGGTAGTTTTCTCAGGCTGGCAGGGCTGGAGGATGCTCGAAGGCCCTGTTATGCCAGGTGTGGTCCAAGGACTAGCAGCCTGGCCATCACCTAGGACGTGTTAGAAATGCAGTCTCACGTCTCACCCTGGACCTGCTAAAACTCAATCTGCAATTCAAGATCCCAAGGTGACTCATGCATATTACCTTTGAGAAACACTGTCTTAAGGGATGGTTCAGGTTTCAAATTCTTTTTTTTCCTTGCAGTTGAACTCCACACAGAATCTTCGCCTGGCAGTAAAAGCAGACCGGAGCTGGTCCTCACTCACAGCAGCCTTGGAGGTCCATCTGAGAATCTCTAAAACTTGAAGTCAGCTAAAACCTCCTAATCTTGCCTCAGCATCTAGTTTGGCATTGATGGAATGTTTAAGATTTTTTTATTTTTAAGTAATCGCTATACCCAAACACGGGGCTTGAACTCAGGACCCCAAGATCAAGAGTCACATGCTCTTCGGACGGAGCCAGCCAGGTGCCCCTAGGGAGATCTGTTTCTACTGACAGATGGCCTGCTGTGAGGGGCACAGGTGAGGGGTGTGGACTGCACCTGCAAGCCAGCAAGGCTCTATAGATGGAACACATTGGCGGACACTAGGGCAAAAGCTGTGCATAAGAACCCAGCTCACTGCTCACAGTCCACATTGCCCTGCTTCCTGCCCAGCCCAACCTCAGGACTAGAGAGACACAAGCAAGCCCTGGTGTGTCCCCAGAAGAGTCCTGGGTGCCTCAACAAACCCCTACACATAGACACTGGGATAGTAAGCCCACCACAGACCCTGCATTTCCAGGGCTGCTCGTACAGACCCACAATCTTAAAATTCACTTACCTAGGATCCCCAGAATTGACTCATGTGGCGAGGTGATCCTGGCCAATGGGACAGGCCTCATTGTGATCCAGGGCAGACCTGCACTCTAAGGCCTGGGCTTCCAGGCTTCCTGAGGGACACTTCCTTTAGCAGGCAGGAGTCCTCTCCAGCCTTTTTTCTGTGTTAGGGGACTGCTTCCCTGCATTCCTAAGAACTGGGCTCTCTCACATGGGAGATAGACAAGTCTTCAGAAAGTGGGTAGACAGAGCATGAGTCATAACTTGGGGACTGGTTAATGAGCTTGAAGCCTTCACTTTTAAGATTCAAGTCCCATCCATCTATCCTCAGGGAAGGGAGGATCAGGTGAGGAGGAACATTAAGGCGGTGAGCATTTCTCATTATGAAATGTTAGCTGTGTTTCTTCGGGGACTGGATTAAAAATGGGTGAAAGGGGAATATGGTAGCATGCATGGGGACCGAGAAGACTAGAAGCCTCTGATCCAAAACTCAACATGCTTTTCAGGCAGGGGCATTAGCCTACCCACATCTGGACAAAGCTGTGACAGAATCCCAGTTGTCAGGTCTCCAGAGAGGTGGCCACTGCCAACCTTGGCAAGGCTCCAGCAGCAATGTCATTGGGGGCCTTGCTGAGTAATGAGAACTGGAGAGGACCCTTCCTAGTGAGCTTGTTGTGACCACAAGCCACAGTGGTGATGACAAGAGAGCATGGTTAGTTGGGGCTCTTGACACTGGTCTGTTCTGTGTGAGGCCTTGGTCAAATTTACCAGCAGCAGGGAAAACAAGATCCAGCGTGTATGATAGTGCTACTGGAGACCGACAAAATGAAGAAAGGACAGACCCTGTGACTGGGTGAGCAGCCACTACTGAGGAGCCAGCCCACTCCGATCAAGGGTATGCAGGGTGAGCCAAGGCTCGGGAGGCCACACAGGCAGCATACTTGGAACAGCACGAGCCCTGCCTGAAGGTGACGCAAGAGCCTATCAGTGTTTTCGCTCATCAGAGAAACACCAACTGTCAGTCTAGGCTGGGAACTTGATCTTTTACCAACTAATTGGAGAGCTAAGTTTTCAAAGCATGGATGTCTTTGGAATCACTGCAACATAGTTCACTGTTTTCGTTCATGATTCTTACAAGCACGGCTAATTTTGAGAACAATGAATTCCGTTTACAGTTAGTATTTCTGCTGCCTTAACTGACCCACAGTGTACTCGAACTGCCAATACACACATCTGTGTACACACACCACAGTTTTAGAAATTGGGACCATAAAGTTGTACCTTTTAGTTGGGGATCTGACACATTACACATTGCCAGGATCATCCCTCATCTATGGTTTCTGGAGAAAGAACCTGTCAGTATTCAGATTACCACTTTAGAGCTTTCTGACGGTGGATCAGACCAAGCCGTCCACGCCTGAGTCTTAGAGTCTAGGTCCTGAGTCATAATGAGTTCACAACCTGAGGGCCCTGGCCTCGAGCATGCCAGGGACTGGTCAGACCTCCTCTCTGATGGCTGAAGGCAAATTCCTAAGCCTGATTAAAAATGCCACTGAGGAAATGCCCACAGAGCACTCCTCATCCCAATGACAACCTGTCCTCTCCGACCACAGGAATGATGTTGGGGCTCTGTTTCCCCTTAACCCTGCCATATTCCTCCAAGAACCCTACTATGCCCCCAAGAGAGGCAGCTGTAAAGACCACAGACACCCTGATTTACATAAAATTATCTCACTCCATTTTATTTAAGATTTTTTTCTCCAGTTAGTAAAAGAAAGATGTGTCTCTCTTTATACATATGTACAAGTTCAGTTATAAAAATAGACAGCACATTCAAAGAGAAAAAAGGCTTGGCATTTTTCTGATTCCCTCTAAATTTAGCATCTGTACACAAGAGTCTGGGTTTGGGCATGGGAATCTTAATGATTTAAATTAAATGATTCCCCTACCACCCCTACTCCAAAAAAAAGTTTTAAAAATCAATCTGTCTAAACTCAATTCCGCGATTTTCAGGTGTGCAAATTAGAGGCTGGCCCGGCCGGAAGCACCTCCTCCACCAGGGACATCAGGCCGGGAGCAGGCAGAAACACCTCCCATGCAAACACCACCCTTTGCCTCTCTGGGGGCGGGGAGCAAGCTGAGGCGGTGCGGCCGAGGCCGGGGCCGGGGCCGGGGCCGGGGCCGGGGGGGGGGGTCGGTGCCGAGCTTTGCCCTTTCTCCTCCTCTCCGCCTCACTCCCGCTGTCCCTTCCTTTCTCAGTGCAATACAGACAGTGCATACGGCCAAGCAGGGGGCTGAAGGGCAGGGGTGGGGAGACTGTGCATTCAGGAAGGGCAAGGGGAGTCTGCAAGAGGGGCAGTGAGGATGTCCTGCTGATTGAGATGGCTCCTGGTCTCTTTACTGGCTTCTGGGAGTCCCGCGGTGGAAGCTGCTGCTACGGTTGCTGGTGGGCCCTGAAGGTTCTCTGGCGTGAACCATGCAGGACAGGGGAGGAAACGCTGGGAAAACAAGTGCCTGCGGGCATGCCTCCTCTAGCCTCTGTCACCCTCACGGGCCACTCACTAACCTTTTCGCACTCACCGCTCTCTTCGGTGCTGACACTCTAGCCAATGGAGTCTGGAGACCCGGGGAGCTGCCCAAAGGCCGAGGATGCCAGGTACAGGATTTCCTTCCTTCCCAGCCCGACAGGAAATCACAGCCCTAAGAGGTTTCCACTGTGGAAGGTTCTTCACAGCACTTGCAGAGCCTCTGCAAGGGACATGGCCAGAGCCCAAGTGGAATGGGGATGGAGACTGTGCCTGAGCATCTACAGGGGTCTATGTCAGGCCCTTCCCCAGTGCGAGGTTTAAGATGTGGCTGTAGAGTTCACTAGAGATGCTGCGAGGCCGATCTCTGTCCTTGGGCCTTCTTCCTCACAGGCCCCCCCAGAGCACCCCTTTTGAGACACAGGTGAGAAAAGTGCTCACACCGACCACCTGCCTGTCCTTCCCTTGCTGCAACTGGTCATCTCCGCCCTCTGACCTGGGATGTAAGATGCTGCACTGGGCAAGCCATCCAAAGACCGTTTGTGGGCCAGGACTCTGGCCCCTGGTTTGGTTGAAGGAAGCCAGAGGGTCTAGGCGGTTACCGTCCTCCAGAGGGGTTGGTGCCTTTGCCCTGTTTCCGGACCAGGGAGTCTGGGGCTAGGCTGCTGGTCAAGTGGAGGCTCTTGGGAGTCCCAGGAACATTATTTCCTTTGCTCAAAGGGGAACTCAAGGGAGAAGAGGCGCTTGAAGGTCCAAAGTCAGCAAGGCCAGCAGGCCGAACAAGAGACGTCTGCAGAGGACTGCTGGCAGAGAGTCCTGTGGGGATGGAGAAAGAGACAAGAAGAGTATAGGCACCAGGCCTGTCTGAGCTGCCCCGGCGCCTGACCTTGCTTGCTGGAGTCTTGGCTGGAGGTGAGGCTGTAGGAAACCCCTCCCACTCCTTGCCAACCTCTTCTTAGCACCTTTGTTTGCTCTCCTGTCAACTGTCTTTTCTGTAAGAGGGATGTGTTTTTCAGGGAAGAACAACACCTACTCGGCCTTCTCCACATCACCTCATCCACAAGGAGTAAGATGTCACCTCGATGCTCAAGGGCAGAGCACACGTCACACAACGTGTGGAAGCCAACGCTGCAGGATGGTGTGTAACTTCTTAGCGCTAATGTATTTTCTTACGTATTCCCTCTTCCTTCTTGGGACACCACTTGTGATTAGCTGCTCCTCACTCCTCCTTCACTTCACAAGATGTCCTCTATTCCCCAAACTCTGCCGCTTCAAGGACCCAGTTCAAATTGCTCATCCTCAGTGATGGCTCCCTGGGTGACAAGTCTTTCTTCCTTGTATGAGCCAAATCCACTTACAACCTCATAACACACTGTCTAATATGCTTCAGTTGTTTCTTGCGGAGTGGTCTGACTATCCCGAAAAAGCATATTAAGTGCTTGGTGTACACACAACTGTCTCTTCCCATCCACCATGGAGCTGCAGGGGATCTCTGAATCAGTCCTTTCCCTGGTTTTCCCATTCCCAGTCACCAAGCATTGTTGATTTTTCTCGTGACACTCTGCCTCCTTCACCCCTCCCGCCCCTTCTCAGACCAGATCTCCAGGAGAAAGCCTGATGGGTGTTGTGGCTTCACCCGTCTGCGGGTGAGACCCTGCCACGGCAGCCTGGACTGCTGGTATGACTGTTGTTTTCCAAGGATGTGAGGAGCTGACAAAAGGTTAAGAAATGCTGGACTAAGCTATTATACTTCATATTCATTGAATGAACAAACCAATGAGAGCCGAGATTCCTGCCGCAGGAGAAAGGGGAAGGGGGCTGACACCTACTCAGCACCTTCTATCCAATAATGGGCAACACCCGCTACACCACCACTTTCAGCTACACACCAAGCCCAGGCTATGAGTGTGGAGGCCAGGGAGCAGCGCCCCCCTCCCTACCCTTCAAAGCTGTCCTACAGGCTATGCTTAGCCTCCTCCTCCACACGCCCTGCTCACCACAGCCACCTCCTTTCTCCAACTTTCCAGAGCCCCTCATCACACACCTGAGAAGCTCTTGTCCATTAGGTCCTGCCATATCTCTCCACTCCTGACTCCTACTGCTCCTCTTGAGCTCGGCCTGACCGACCTGCTCGGTGACCCCAGATATGCCCCTTCCTTTGTCATCCTTCTCCGTCTTTCTGAGTTACAACCTGGCAACTTCGTCTCCAGGTCCATGGCTTCCCCCTTCTTCCGAGCTATAGCTACAATTAAGGCCTCCCCATTTTTGTCACTCAGTACACGCATGCTGTCGTGTATTGCTGTTAAACATATTCCACAGATGGCTCCCTCTTCTCACTTCTACTACACACTCCAGAGCGGGGGCCGTGTGTTATACTCTCATGCACACAGCTTGGGTGATGGCAAATGTTGACTATTCTAGCCTGGATTACTGAAACAGAATTCCTGAAATGCGCATCTTGGAGGGAGCTTCCTGGCCCCGGGGGGGTGCCCTACCTGCTCTCCCGGCACAACACTCCACAGACCCTCCAGACTGTCCCTCACCAGAATAGAGCCTGCAGCGCACCCCTGCCCCCAGGGGCCTCCGCACCTTTAGACACATTGTACCCGTATGCAGCATAGGCAGCTGCCGAGGCTGCCGCGGCCCCTGCTTTGGCTCCTGCCATTGCGGCAGCACTGCCTGCGGTGGACTTCCGGCTCCGGCCTTTCCCTGCTCCTTTGGCTGTGCTTCCTGAACCTTTGGGGCGGCCTCGGCTTCGAGCTGAGTGACCACGTCCTACGGCTGGCATTTCCTGAATGGAAATTCCTGTGGGAACAAATGGGCCAAGAGGGAGAAAGAGTCAATCTCTTGACATGTTAAGAGAATCTTCCCCGGACAGGGAGGACTGGCTCTTGGCGTGTTTCAGGACTCTCAGGGAGGGCTCCGTCCCCATTTAAATGGTTGGGCCAAGGAGCCACAGAGTAAGAATTCTGAACAGCTAAAACAGCCTGACTCCTTAAGCTGCTTCTCATTCTAAAAGAGTGGTTCCACTACTCCTGAATTTCTTCTTTAAACGAGTTTCATTACTGAATGAACCCCAGGGGTGTGCGGCCTGTGATTCACCGGCGCACTTCAATGTGCTCCTGCCTTGGAGAGTCAACTTTTACTCCCAAGTTTTAAAGCTAGAGCTCCTCAAGAAATCACACCATGGGCCCCACAGAACAAGTGAGGAAAGGCCCAGAGAAGCAAACTTTAATTAAAAACTAGCAAAAATAAAGGTGGAATATGAAAGATAAGGCTGATTAGAAAACGAAGTTTGAAATCTTTATAAAGTTCTTTCTCCCTTTCACTTGACAGGGCTACTGAAAGAATGAGCCTATCAATTCTTTTTCCTCCACTCCACTCTTCTTTACAGACAGTAGAAAATGCCGTGATCTTAGGAGGAGTTGGGACTTGAGCACGAAACCCCTGCTTCTCCTGAGGCGCTGGCCCAGGCCCTAGCTGTATGAGACTGCAGCACCACTCACCATTCACAGTGTCTGAAACGGAGCCTGTTATGGAGGCAGGAGAGTTGGTGGCCCGAGACTGGGGGGCTGAGGAGGCCGGGTCGTCCACGATGACCAGCATATCACTGCTGCTCTCGTCGGGGGGGATGGAGCCGGTGTGCAGCTCACTGCTGATGGAGATCTGGAGGAGGAAGGGTCGCGATCACCACCATTCTTGGCACCCACAGCCCATGGCCCTCATACCCATGTGAGGACGTGCTTCTCAGACCTCATCACTATTTTTCTCTCCTGCCTGGCTTCATTCCTGAGGGTGAAATTCCCTGCTTTGCCTCCAGAGAAGCCAGCCTGTCCTCATTTCCTTTTCTTCTTATGGATTCCGTGTGCAGCCCCCTTCCGCAAGGCAGGAGAACTCCAGGAGAAGCAAAGGGTACCAGGTCAGGACACAGTCCCCACCGCCGGGATGAAGGCCTCTACAAGGAGCCTCACCTCACTGAAAGGGCTGGGCATGGCCGAGTCCACGCTGACGAAGGAGTCGTCCCCGTCAGCAGAGAGGTTGGAGTTATCAGCCGAGGGAACGAATGGGATCACTAGGTTCACACCCTCCTTTCTCCTTTTCCCATCCAATTCATCTTCCTTTTTCTTCTGGGAACACACAAATCAAGAAATTTGGAAAAAGCATGAAGATAGGCACTAAAAGAAAAGTGGGGTTGGAAAAGAAGGTGATGACAGAAATCTGACTCTCTGTAAACTTCCACGTTTCCCCCCCCAATTAGCATACTTTTAAAGGAAGGAAAAAACTCCTAAGCAAGGAGGAAAGGAACAGCTTAAGAAGAGTTTATGTATATTCTACCCCGGTGATACAGAGCTGCGAGGCAGGCGAGTCACACCGAATCAGGGCTGCACGAAGCCTGACCCATGAGGGGCATGTCCGAGCTGCAGCACTCATAGGGGTGGAACTGATTCAGTCCTACAAGAGGGAGGCCCAGTGCCTTTAGTGTATTTTCTGCACATCTGTTTTCACTCTGCCTTCTTTTTAAATATGCATAAGGAGAACAAAAGTTCTTATCATACTCAAGAAATAATGGGTTGCTTTTGTCATTATTTTCTCGGTTTACATGTAAATGCTTATGGGTTGAGCTACATTAAGCAGGTCTAGAACCAAGTTTAGTAGGGCTCTGTCACAGATTAGGGACCTGAAATCGCAGAATATGCTTAGAAAATTCTGGGAATCACATCCACTCACTGCATCTAACTGCATTTGTATCCACCCCTCTATCAGGGTTAATGTCTTTGTGTAGTTTATACTACCACTGGATGTTTATCTGAAATTTCTTTACTCAGAGCAGGGATGGCTTCTGATGCAAACTCAGTAAACCCTACAATATCCTGTATGAGAAAACCACCTTTTGTGGTTCAAAGACTTCATTGCTGTAGTTTGGATTAATTCCCCTCCCAACAACCCCCATCCCAAACTGCATTTGTAATTTTGTGGCTGAGGGTCATTTGTTTGTTAATGTAGTGTGCCTTTAACTTTAGACAACTTTTTATTTTGATGTCCTGTTGGTTCAGTAATGCTCAGGATATCAACTGTTTTGCAAAATAAATTTACTGAACTTGGGCTAAAATAAATATCAAACAAACCAAAAAACAAAAAAACCCCACCACCTTTTCTTCTTTGATGTTGCTTCTGAGTATTAAAGCTATTTTAATTCCAAATAGTAGTTAAGTAATGGGTTAGAGATTTGAGGGTGGAGTCACAGTTCATGAATTTTTCAACTCTGATATAGTGAATCCCAGGGCATCCTTCGGGTTAGAGATAGTTCTGCTTAGCAGAAGGTACAAATGACGGTATGGATTTTATAAAAGGAAGAGCTGGTATATCTACTGGAAGATGATCAAATAATACAGACAAGTTCCTAGGCTGCTGGCCATCAAGGTCATACGGCCGAAGGGACAAGGCACATGAGGCCCAATACAAGCTAGGATAAGGGGAAGACGTCAACCTCCACTTACGACAGAATCAGTATCAACATGTGGTCAGACCATATGCTTCAGACACACCAAAGAGTCCAGGGAAATGAAGCATGGATAACTGTTGGGCTTGAGGACCCAGAGCTATCAACATGGCTGAAGCTCATGGTAGCTATCTTGTTCAAGACCAGGGGCCCAACGAGGGCCGATAAAGATGGGAAGGGCAGCAAAACCCAAAGGTAAGCCAAACCCACCAGAAAAAATTAGGAAGTACTTTCTGAAAGGTAGTAAAGTGGTTCTGAACCAACAATCCTTCGGTGTTCAGTCTGGGAACCCAGTCAGAACCAATGGGCCGACTCCTGAAACAAGAATAAATCCTAAAGGCGTCACTTCAATTTACTTGTCAGTAAAGACCAGAATAAGGATCACTGAAATAAAACTCTGGTAGAAAGAGCAAGACAGGAAGAAATGTAAGGGGAATTACAGCCCACTTTGCAGCTGGCCAGGTGGGGTCAAGCAGGAAATGGCAGAAGGGAGACAAAAAACAGCTCAAATCTTTGACATAAATTAGAGAAAAAGAGACGAACAGATTGGTCAGTGATTTCTTTTTCCAACAACAGATGACACGGAATGGAACACTAGCAGAATTAAAGTAGGATGGATATAATGACCTCTTAGGCCCTTTCTAAGATTCTACGTAATCTGATAATGTAAATGTAAGATCCATCTTATCCACATTTAGCTTTATGCTTTGCAACAGCCCCGACAAATGATTTCCATAATTACATGTGACCAGACAAGGTAGGTCTGTGTGGGGACTACTGGTCTACCAAGGCCAGATTTCTCCTGATCAAATGTCATTCAGCACAGAACTGTTACTTACCACATACAGTTGGAGCTGGATACCAACCAGTAACCAAGATGATAAGCCATGTACCCAAAGCCTTTCTCGTAAGCGCCCCCTGTCCCCTACCGGTCCCTGCCGCCCACCCAAAGCTTGAGATACCTTCTCTGCATACTTTTCCCGCTTGCGCTTGCGCTCTTTGACTCGGTTGGTTTCCTCCTGCTGCCGTTTCTCTTCTTGCCGCAGTCTCACTATCAAGAAAATTAAAAAGATCTGAAGATCTGATGAAGTACCTGTGGTAATCATAATTCTCATTCTCTGAAATTAAGGTGACCACACCCTCTGATATTTATGTTCTAGGGTAGGACATCTGTCTAGGGCAGATTAACTGGTTTTTTAATGTGGAGTGGGAACAGAGTTCTTGGATTTTTAACAGTTTTGGGGTTCAAACCATCATTCAGTTTAACCGTCCTGGGCCATTCCTTGCCTTTCTTCTTTTATTTATTTTTTTTAAAGCTTTTTATTTACTTGACACACACGGAGAGAGAGGGAGAGAGCAAGCACAAGCAGGGGGAAGCAGCGGAGTGAGAGGGAGAAGCAGGCTCTCTGCTGAGCAGGGAGCCCATGTGGGGCTTGATCCAGGACCCTGGGATCATAACCTGAGCCGAAGGCAGCCGCTTAACCGACTGAGCCACCCAGGCGCCCTCTTTCTCCTTTTCTTTTCAGCCTTTTAACATCTCTGCGTTGCAAAGATCAAGTATGGTTGTAGAGTCCTGAAAGTGTTTTAGAAGGCAGTGGCAAGTGTGAGCACTGTAAGAAAGGAGCTTCATCATACTTCCTGATGTGAGGCTGACATCCTCAGGGGCTCACAAGGTAATTCTGAAACCAACTGTTCTCAAAAGCCAGCAGTACATGGGAGAAGTGCTACAGCAGTGTGGTTCTCCAACTTCTCCATAAAAACATTTCTTTGGGCAGAACAGAGTAAATTCATTACTGCTGAGGAGTCTAGGGATACAGCCTCCCTGATGCAAATTTATTCAAAGTCATAGTACTTTTAAAATATATGTAAGTTTTGCCTTCTACTCCATAACACATTTTTTTTAATTTTTTTTAAGATTTTATTTATTTATTTGACAGAGAGAGACAGCGAGAGGGAACACAAGTAGGGGGAGTGGCAGAGGGAGAAGCAGGCTTCCCGCCAAGCAGGGAGCCCGATGTGGGGCTCATGACCTGAGCAGAAGGCAGACACTTAACAACTGAGCCACTCAGGCGCCCTTCCTAACACAATTCTTATTTGGATTTTAATATAAGTTATTTTTTATTTTTATTTTTTTTTTAAAGATTTTATTTATTTATTCATGAGAGACAGAGAGAGGCAGAGGCAGAGGCAGAAGCAGGCTCCCCGCCGAGCAGGGAGCCCAATGCGGAACTCGATCCCAGGACCCTGGGATCATGACCTGAGCCGAAGGCAGACGCTTAACCGACTGAGCCACCCAGGTGTCCCTAATATAAGTTATTAACATAAAAAATGCTTCTACCCAAATACAATCTTTGGCTTTGCTTACCCTTGGCACACAGCCAAGAAGCCCTACCATTTTCGGATGGGTGAGGCCAGAGAAACATCTTTTATAGGGAGGAGAGGGCTTTAGTAGGAGGTTTAGAGTACGTACATTTCTTCTCCAGCTCTTCATCATCTAGAAGAAGACTAACCACCTCTTTGGGTTTTAAGGTATCTGGTTTGAAGTTCCCACCAGAAATCACCATCCGCTGAATCTATACCAAAGCAGATCAAAACATCACCACCAGGCACCCATTCCCTTATGGATAATATCCAGAAACAAGGCAACATCTTTCTCAATCTGCTCTTCTGGCACTTGGATTCCCTATTTCTTCTCATTTATCTCACTGGCTCATTCAGATTATTTATCCAACAGAAGGAACAATGAGAACTTCTCTAGCTTGGGACTACTAATTGATAGCTAGAAGATCCAATAATACAGAAATCAAGATAAAAAACCCTCAAACCCCCAAATAATCATTTCTTTGCAAACTAGCAAATTTGGCATACAACTTAGACGCTGTCAAATTGAGAGTACTAGGATGAGAGCTCAAATGTCATTCCTTATTCCCCTGAATGGTAAAGTATGTGAAAACAGGAGGGCCATGACTGGTGTCACCCCCCCATGAACAACAGCCCAATCTAGCCTGTAGATACCATTCAGATAGAAAAGGAGTGAGGAATGAACAGCCAGGGCAGTACAGGGCTTGATTTTATTTTCTATTCGGAAGAACTTTTCGCCCCTTCCTGACCCACAGAAGGCAAGAGTCTTAGCCCAGTAAATGTGGTTGTACTTTCCAGCTTCACCACCACTACAGTACTTCCTTTGCCTGCTGCTTACCTCACTCTTCTCCTTGGCTCGCTGTAGAATGCGTTCTTCAATGGTGCCTTTACAGATTAGCCGGTACACAGTAACCTGCTTTGTCTGCCCCAAGCGGTGGGCTCTGTCCATGGCCTGCTGGTCCACAGTGGGGTTCCAGTCGCTATCATAAAAAATCACCTGCACGGGCAGGACAAGAATACAGCAAAGACTGAGGCACTCTTAGGGCAAGACCAGGAATTCTGAGAGCAATCTAGCCACTTGTCATTTTCAGTAGTCTGATGCAGGATTTTTTCCCAGGATATTAAGATGAGCAGACATCCACTCATAAAACTAAGCCATTCCTTCACTTGTCTTGGGTAAAATAGATATACTCTAGCTTTTTTTTTCTTCAGGATTTCCATTTAAAAAGAGGGAACAGCAATAATATTAATAATTAATACTTAGTGCTATCTGCTAGTCACTGTTCTAGTTGCTTTATGTGTATTAACTCACTTAAATCCCATGATCACTATGATTTAGGTACTATTAAGACTCCCATTTTATAGATGAGGAAACTGAGACACATAGGAATTACAGAATTTATCCAAGATCACAGAGCCTAAGTACGTGGTAGACCTATGAGGTGGGGGATATGAAAGCCTTCTCTTTTTTTTTTTAAGTTTTCATGTATTTATTTAAGCAATCTCTACCCTCAACGTGGAGCTCGAACTCACGACCCCAAGATCAAGAGTTGCATGCTCTTTCAACTGAGCCCTCCAGGCATCCCTGAAAGCCTTCTCTTTAACACTAAGTCTACCATGGTAAGGGATAGGCATAGCTTTCCTGGCATTCTCCGGCTCATATTTCCTATCTCTTGAATTCGGCAAAGAAACATTTAAGGGTTCCCTGGAAGCTACTTTTAGTTTGCTAAACAACAAACATAAACAACAACAGAATGTCCTCTCCTCTCCTCCACCCCACAAGTGATCCTACAGTCAACAGACTCCTGGGACCTCAGTCCTGAGGCTACTACTGAATATAGGGGATGTCCTGAAAGCCAGTTCCAAATGGTCCTCATGCGTCATCTATATTCAAGCAAGTCACCAATTCCAGCCACTGCTTCTTCAGAAATGAACCTCTCCCTTTTTATAGTCCTACTGTCCCTATCCTGGACTGGGATCTCATCACCTACACCTGGCTCGCTGCCACTGTCAGACCAGCAGGATTTCTAGAGCTCAGTCTCTCTCTTCTTTAGTCTACTTTGGTTACCACTGTAGGCCACTCTATTTCCCTGTCAGTTATGCGGTAACACACCAAATCCAAACTCCCCTCAATAATCAGGCCCTGCTATACTGAGCCCAATTCATTTCTATTCTTTTCTAAAATAAACATGCCCCTTCCTTTTTGTTAGAGAGGTCTCTTCAGTGCTCTTCACTCATGATTATTTGCACCACTTTTTGCTCAAGCTCTTTTTCTGACCTGTAGTCCCTCAATTCTTCTCTATTGGTCCTTTAAGGTTTGATTCAAGCTTCCCACTTTCGAGTAGGCCTCCCTGATTTCTCCTGCCTATAACAATGTCCCTTTTTCCTATTCCTCGTGGATTCCTACTAGAAATAATAATGGTGAAAATCTGTTCAGCACTTACAATGTATCTGGCACTAGTGTGCATACATATCTCACTAAATTTTCACAAAAACCTTGTGTGTTTTCTTCATCTTATCAATCAGGAAGAGACTGGCCTGAGTTCATGGTCCTAACAGTCTCCCTCCACCACCTGCACTATTTCAATACCTTGTAAGCATTGCCTATCCTGGTCCAGTTCTCACTTAATCACTATCTCCTACAGGTATCTTCAATTATTTTCACTATCTTCAATTATTTCATGTGTATTATTTTATTTTATTTTTTTAAAGATTTTTATTTATTTATTTATTTGACACACAGAGAGAGCGAGAGAGAGAGGGAGAGAGCACAAGCAGGGGGAGCGGCAGGCAGAGGGAGAAGCAGGTTTCCTGCATGAGCAGGGAGCCCGATGTGGGGCTCGATCCCAGGACCCTGGGATCATGACCTGAGCTGAAGGCAGCGGTTTAACCAACTGAGCCACCCAGGTGCCCCTCATGTGTATTATTTTAAAAATCTCCCTATCTGGTCATATTGTAGGACAGAGAGCATCCATCTGTGCAAAGTAGAATTCCACAAATACTAGTCGATTAATACTAGAATCTGTAAGGGAACTGATCAACACTAGACCAAGCCTAAAAATGTAAACTCAGTGATTCACTCTCAAGTAATTTATTTATTCTCTCATTTAAAATTGGACACAATTCCGCCATTCTCTGCAGAATTCAGACTCTGAGTGAAGATGGACAAAAGACACTGGCATTTTCAACACTCTTGCCTACAACAGTAAAACCCCCACTGGCTCTTTCTGATGCTGCTCCTTTTGTCTTGCTTTTATGCGAGGTATAATCCCGCAAATTTCTGCATCAGTCAGAATCCGTGGGGAGAAAATTACTAACTGCCTACCAAAGAAAAGAAAATCATTACAAAAACTTACTGCTAATCCACAGTGTCCACAGACCTAGGATTCTGAAGTACACAATGTTGCCATTTGTAGAGGAGCAGAGCAAACCTGACGATGGGATATTTTGGAGGTTCAATAGGATATGCAAAATTCTAGAAAATCTACTTTAAACTTTCAGAGAGAACAAGGATGGGAAGACAGAGTTAATGAAAAGGAGGCTTTTGATTGGACTGGGGAGAAACTACTTGCCCAACACACCTAAAATAACTATTACTGGAAAATGACAGCTGATGTCTCATCCAAAAGATAGTACCTTTAGCTAGTTACCTGAGCCTGAGGCAGTGGTGCAGCAGGAATTCATAATGGGAAGTTCTACATTATGAATCATTTCATAGGTGCTTCCTTAACACTTACATTTTTTCCTGGAAGTCTCAGTGGCAACCAGACCTGATTCAACTTAGGTTTTTTGAGCTCATAAAAGGTAAAAAAATTAAAGTTAAGGAGACAGGCTGGCAATTTAACTTCAAAACAACTCCATTTAGTGGCTAATTATCATTTAAATGGGTTAAAAGAGGTGATAAATTTGGGAGGACTAGAAAAAAGTAAGAGTCTATTAAGAAAAATATTTACCAGGAAAAAGAGTATGAAGTATGTAGAAGCTAGTAAGTTAACACAGAATGGGAGAACTAAAAACCAAGCCAGATAGATGGTTATTATCTAACCTGACAATGAAATGAACACTGCATCAATCAGGACTTGAACTGGGGGCAGTGAGGAGGGGTGCTGGGGGAGACAAGGAAAGAGATGACACCTAGATTTGGTAATCAGGTTTATGGAGCTCAGTGAGACATTCTAGAGAAAAACAAGTAACAATTAAAGGATAAGAACAACTAATTTAGCCAGTAAAGATAAAAGCAAATCAATGGATGGCCATAAAACATGGCCCAGCAATGACTAAGGGGAAATATATTAATAGACAGCACCTTCATGAAGTTGTACACACCAAGCTAGACAGGCATGAGGTGAGGAGGGGGTGAGACCTGAGAAGGGCTGGAGGCACTGGTTTTACAGGTCACTGAGAGGGAGTTTCAGGGTATGAGGGAATGAAATAGAAAATAGGAAAATTTTGAGACGAACAACTGGAAAAAGTTGGACCAACACTTGGAGGGTGAAACTCTCACCCAAGAGAATAGGTGGGAGCTCAGTACCTCAGGAGGGCTGAAAGCTGTCTGTCCCATCTTGTCTCATAGGACATATAGGAATTCTCACATTACCACCAAGAGAAAAAAGCTCCTCTGTCTCTCTCTACATGTGAGCATTTAAAACAGGTCTGACACAGGAACAAAACAAACAGTGCACTTTATAACAACCATTCACCTAAAGACAGACAAATGCAAAGAGTTCCCTACTTTAGGAAAAATATACAAAGAATAAAATAGTAAGGGGCCATTAATCACATGCTAAAATCATGTTTTTACTAAGAGAGTGGGCCAGAGTCCCACTGTTTACAAAATACATGTTTATCGACATTAAGTTTTTCCTGACATTTTAGGCTGACTAACTTCTTCCTTGTCCATAAATGGTTCTGGGGAATCTTCCAAAGCTAAATAAATCTCAGGACAAAGGAAGAATGCCAGGCAAGCAGTTAAGCCTATTGTTTTACACACACACACACACACACACACACACACACACACACACACACACACACACACACACACTCTTTGACTTCACATAAAGCATAACCTAGAAATTCATTTCAATCTTGAGGAACATTTTACCGAGAAGTACTCCAGGAGGTTCTAATTTACAAGTAAGTCCCCAAGCCTTCCCCTCAAAATTAAATGTAAATTACTTTGGAAATGGAAACTCAGAATATTCAGAGCCTTTTCTCTCTAGTTCCTAGGATGAAAAGGGAATCCCTACTTTTTTTTTTTTTGAATTTGACAGAGAGAGACACAGAGAGGGAATATAAGCAGGGGGAGTGGGAGAGGGAGAAGCAGGCTTCCCGCCGAGCAGGGAGCCCTATGCGGGGCTCCATCCCAGGACCCTGGGATCATGACCTGAGCCGAAGGCAGACGCTTAACCTACTGAGCCACCCAGGCGCCCCGGGAATTCCTACTTCCACTCCTCTAGCCATGGGTTTGGCCTACTTTGGTTCTTTGTGGTTGGCAGAGCTCCTAACCTCCACAGGGCAAATTATGTGAACACTGGAAGCATAAAGCAGATCTCCTCGCTCAAATCTGCTTTTTCTTTTTCTTGACTATGCAAATAAATGACTAGGAGAACTAGTCCTTAAAAAAAAAAAAAAGAGAGATTTATTATTTATTTATTTATTTGAGAAAGAGAGCACGTGTGAGCTGAGGGAGGGGCAGAGGGAGAGAGAGACAAGCACACCCCGCCCCCGACCACTGAGCAGACCCTGAGATCATGACCTGAGCCAAAATCAAGTTTAACTGACCAAGCCACCCAGCCGCCCCAAAAACTGTTCCTTAAGAAACCATAGACCAAACCTGAGATAGGCAGGCTGAGATGCATTTTAATCACATGAACTTATGCTTTCTGCTGAACTCCAGACCCTGCTGCCTGGGTGACCTTGCCCCTTAGTGTTTGCTAAGAATCTTAAACTGAATACATCCCAAATTAAACTCTTGATTTCTCCTCTCAAACCCGTTCCTCCCAGCATCTTCCCCTTAATTGCTAATTGATGTCTGCATCATTCCAGTTGCCTCGGTCAAACACCTTGGAGTTTTCTTTGACACCTCCCACACATCCCACATCCAATGTAGCAGCAAACTCTACTGCCTGTGCCTCCAAAATACATGGAAATTCCTATTATTTCTCCCCACCTTCACTGCTTCAACCCTTGTCCAAGTCACCATCACCTTGTGTCTAACTCCTAACTGAACTTCCTGCTTCTTTCTCCTTGTAGATCTTCCCACCCTACTCCCCAAAAGCCAGAGGGACACATTTAAAACCCAAGCCAAATCAAGTTACCGCTCTGTTCAAATTCTTCCAGTGGCCTCCCATCTCAAAAGTCTTACAGCCCATGAAGCCTTCCACGATCTGCTTCACAACACTTATCTGACAGCCTTTCCCCATCATCCGTTCTGTTCCACCTACAAAGGGCTGCTCGCTATGGCCTGATCACGCCAAGCATGTTCTCGCTGCAGGGCTTTGCACTTATCTCTTCTGCCTGGAATGCTCTTCTTTCTGCCAGATATATGCTTGGCTTGCTTCCTCACTTTCTTCAGATCTTGGCTCAAGTGTCACCTTATCAGAGAAGCTACATCAGCGCATATAAAACCACCACCCCCGATCATGAATGGGGTCTTGAAGAAGAAAAAGAAGTTTACCAGGTGGAAGAGGTGTTGAGCAAAGAGTTCGTGCAGCAGTGTAATACAATATGGTATGTTCAGGCACAAAAAGTCAATCATTATTGAACATAAATTTTGGGAAGGGGAAAGTAAGTCTGGCAGTTAGACTGGAAAGGGTAAAGGCCACAAAATGAAGGGCCTTGTATGCCATGTAAAGGAGCTTATCCTTTGTCTTGTAAGATGATGGAGATTCCCTGAGAGTTTTAGGCAAAGGGAGTGGCATGGTTAATAAAGAAGGGTATAAATAAACCAAGAGAACAAATATGGGGCTGGGAGCTGAGACTGGAGTTCAAAAGATTCACTAGGATAAAGTGGTTTCTCCTGTACTCACACTGAGAGTATGACTAAGTTAGGACTGTATGGAATGCTTAAAAAATACAGCTGAGAACCAAGGAGTAAAGAGAAAGCCAAATTTCTGCTATCTGATGTGACACCAAGTGAGCCACCACCTCGGAGAACCCACAAGAACACACCTACCACCAATGACAGCCTTCCCTTAAGACGACCGAAGCTGATGATGCATGCTAGATCTAGCATCTACCCAGCTAGGCTTCCAGCAGTTGTCAGGCCCTGGAGCCTTGTCCAAACCTGGTTAACCGGCTGATGAGTTTTAGATGCCAAGGAAGGTACAGCTGAGTCCTGTGCTGATAGTCTACTTAAGGATGATACAGAATCTGCTTTTCTTTCTTGAGGTCAGGCAGCTCTACAGTACAGTAGTTAATAAGGAGAGAGAGTGGACACAGCCTAGGGGTGGAGACTAGGAAACATGGGCTCTAGTTCCAGCTCTGCAGCTTGTGAGTCTATTCACGCCTCTTCTCCCTTCTACCTCATTTCTCCATGAATCTCCAGGGTCTGCACCCTCCTCCCATTTCTGGGAGTATTTAGAACAGTATCAGACACATAGCTGGCATTCACTAAATATTTGTTGAATGAATGTGTAAGAAACTTATTCATAGAGAATGGACAGAAAGTCCAGATGGAAAGCTAAAACGTACTAGTTCCAATACGTTTCTCTGTATTTCACAGAGAAACACCACAACAGCCACATAAAATGACATTTTTAGAGTCATATTTGCTATAAAACAATTTCCCACTTGTGCATTTTTATGTCTCAAGGTTACTGAAATTGTTATTAAATGAATTTGAACACTGGGAATAATTTTGAGATTCAAAAAGGAATGCTCTTTTCCATTTCAGTCAACTGAAGTATTCTTCCAGGGAGACTAGGTATGAAAGGATAAATAATTTTGATACAATGTCTTCATTTTTTTAAATTACCAATTTCGTTGCTCTCCAATCACCTTTTGAAGTTTGGGATAAAAAAGTATGAGTTTTTCCCATGGTGGAATAATGCATAAGAGCAATAAAACAATCATTTCTGATTTTGTTCAGTTATAGCTCCTAAAAAAACCTGTTAATCCAGCCAGATTATTTAAGTCTGTTTATTCACTGAGGTACTCGAAGTATTTAGAACAGTATCAGACACATAGTTGGCATTCACTAAATATTTGTTAAATGAATGTGTAAGAAACTTATTCACAGAGAATGGACAGAAAAGTCCAGATGGAAAGCTAAAATGTACCAGTTCCAGCCAAAATGCAACTATTGTCTTATAACATAATGAGGGAAAGAAATAAAAAGTGTGACCCAAAGCAAAGGATAATACCAACTGAACAACATATTTATATTAGAAAACCTGCATACCTGGTATGCTGTGGCACTCATTACTTACTGTATCTGCAGCAGTAAGATTGATACCCAGTCCTCCAGCTCGTGTGCTTAGCAGGAATACAAAGATGTCATTCCTGCAGAAAAGGGAAGAAGATATGTTAAGAGGGAATACTAAAAGAGAAAGATAGCATGCATATGGCAAAAACAGAGATCTCTGAAAACAGAATAGTGTCCAGGACTAGAAAGGGTTATCCAGGCCTGATCCACATTTCTTGACACATTGTACCAAGGTGCTCTGATGTTAAAATGGAATCATGGTTGTCATCTTCTAATTTGCAGATATACTTCTGCGGCCTACTAATACTGATAGACTGATAGGCAATATAATTATAAACATGTAGCAAACATAACAGAAAAATATGTCATTATGGAAATAGTTATATAGTGTCATAGTTCAAACAAGTCAAGCCATTCCTAGGTTCATACAGAGGGAATAAAAATCAGTATTCCTTGGCGCTTCCCCCAGGAGTCATGACTACCAATAATTTGGGAACTAATGATTATACTTTCCCAAAGCACTCATTTTCAGAAGAATAAAGTCAGTCCCAGAAAAATGACCCTGAGGTCAGGACTAAGATCCAGGTCATAACTTCTACGTATTAAGGTGAACTTAGGATCAATCTATGAAGACAGGCTGGAATTAAAGTACTTTTTTAATGTATGGCAACATAACCCCCATGATTAGATATAGTTGTCTCAGTTTCCCTTGACATCCTTCGTCCTTTTAAAGAAACCCAGAATTATAAATAAACCGGTAGGTACCACTGTCACTCATTCAGACAACAAATATTTACTGAATACCTTCTAGGAACAGGCCCATGCCAGATCACAGCAAGTAGGCTTGGACTACAAGATTTATCTATGTACACACATACAATTAGGGGCTCAGTTTGATCCCAATTCTTGCACATTTTTTTTTAAATTTTATTTATTTATTTGAGAGAGAGAGATAGTGAGAGAGAGGGAACACAAGCAGGGGGAGTGGGAGAGGGAGAAGCAGGCTTCCTGCAGAGCAGGGAGCCCGATGTGGGACTCGATTCCAGGACCCTGGGACCATGACCCGAACCGAAGGCAGACGCTTAACGACTGAGCCACCCAGGTGCCCCTCTTGCACATTTTTAAAGATTCTCTTGCATTTTCATGTTCCTGCCACCCGAGGTTATTTTCCAGAACATTTCAGTGAGAAAGGAACTGCATTATACCAGTGAGCAAACTTTACAGTCCTTTAAATCAAGTTGCTAATCTCTTTTCTCATGATTAAAATGAGTATAACGAAAAATTCATTTAGACCAGTGTTATTCAAATTGCAGGTCACACCTATTACTGGTCATGAAATCAGTGTGGTAGATCTGGACCACATTAAAGAAATAAAGAAAGGAACAGAACAGATTAGAAAATATTATAATACAGGGGTACCTGGCTGACTCAGTCGGAAGAGCATATGACTCAAGTTTCAGATATGGCATAGAGGTACTAAGAGGTACTAAATTCCAATGTAAAATGAATTTTACTCATCCCTTGATGCTGTTCTTCCCTGGTAAAGTCATTTGACTGAAGGTCTGTTTCCTGGACTATAAAATGAGGATGCTCTGAATACAGCTGAAGTGACTAAGTGATGACATATCAACAGTAAACATGAGTATCAGTGAAGGAACTATTTTGAAATTAGCCTCCTGGTTAATCACTAAGCTGTGCTGGTCCTAGAGAAATCTGTCTATTATTTGCATTTAGTTAAACACAAGGTTCCCAGAGGCAGGAATGACAACAAAGTATGTCTGCAGGCCTGTTACAAGGCCAGATTCCAAAAGCTCTATACACCCACTGAAGTTCTACTAGTTTATCCTTGAATATTATCAAGTTTAATATTTCATAATTTTATTTAATTTATAAAATGTCCTCGTTTATAGTTAATACACAGAAGGCAAACCAAAAAGTTAAAAGGTACATGCTAGTTTGCAAACACATTTTCCTACATAGATATGAGATGATGTAAATGGAAGCTTGATACCTTACAGCCCAGAGGAGGGTATCTAACCACAGTGAGGCTGCAAATAAAAACTGATTGAGCTTTCCAAGGCTGTAGTAACTAATCTCTACAGAAAAATTCTTCCTTCTCTGACCCTCTGACCCTCACTGCTCCTACCCATACTTCTCTCTCCTGCTTTGGTGGAAACAGAAGCAGTGGTCAGAGGCTTCTCTCCAATACCTGTGTGAGAGCTGACGGAACCACCCAATGGCTAGGACTCATGGTAATTCCTAAAGAAGTCCAGAGCCTGAGCAAGGGGTGGGGCGGGGGAAGGGAGAGGAGACAGGGAGGAAGGTAGAAAGCAGTCGGGAACTACAATATAAGGAAGGGTAGAGGCAGGGGTGCCTGGGTGGCTCAGTTAGTTAAGTATCTGCCCTCAGCTCAGGTCATGATCCCAGGGTCCTGGGATTGAGCCCTGAGTCAGGCTCCTTGCTCACTGGGGAGCCTGCTTCTCCCCCTCCCTCTGCCTGCTGCTCTCCCTACTTGTGCTCTCTGTCAAATAAATAAAATCTTTAAAAAGAAAAGGGGGTGTAGAGGCAGAAAGATGGGTCATTTCCATAGTCTGGGCAGCCAGAGATAAGTCCCCAAATATGGTAATTACTTATAAACAGGGACCACGTATAGAAAAAGCAGTGAAGGGAATCTAGGTAAAAATAAATCAGTAGAGGGGCGCCTGGGTGGCTCAGTCGTTAAGCATCTGCCTTCGGTTCAGGTCATGGTCCCAGGGTCCTGGGATAGAGTTCTGCGTCGGGCTCCCTGCTCTGTGGGAAGCCTGCTTCTCCCTCTCCCACTCCCCCTGCTTGTGTTCCCTCTCTCGCTGTGTCTCTCTCTGTCAAATAAATAAATAAAATCTTAAAATAAATAAATAAATCAGTAGCAAAACTTAGAAATATATAACAGTAGAAGACACTTCTTCTTTGGGGATATTAACTATGTATTGAGAAGATGCCTTTTAATGATAAGGTAGATGATAAGCAGCAAGGTTTGATAATTTTATCATACTGAAATTAAAAAATAAGGATTATGGAAACCTTGTTAAAATAAATTACTGTCCATCCCAGAATACACTGCTGGACCATTTATAAACAAAAACACCTAAATAAAACTGCTTAGAAGTTCCTTTCAACTTAATAAATCTAGTATTGATAATGTGAATTACTGTTTTGGGGGCTCTGACTAAAGGGAAGAAAACAGAATCCCTGAAGGCAACATGATAGTTTGGGTGCCCTCTAGGGGGCTGAAAAAGAATTTCAACTCAGGGTTTCCGCTGGAACAGGCCTCTCAGCAAGCATACTTCTGGGCGGTCTGGGAATGAGCCTAAGAAATCATGGAGCAAAGATGTGCTTAGGTCTCACTCTGGACCTGTTGTTTAATGGACCCACTGAGGCCACCAAAATACCCAAACAGTCCTGGGCATGTAGCCTAACCGACTGCAGTGAAGACTTGCTCAATGACTGAAAAAGAGCCAGAATGAAAGAAGAGGCTGGAACTCTACAACACTCTCAACAAGAAAGAAAAAATCAACACTACACTCACTTTTTCTCATGTTTTCCAAAGGGTCACCCTGAGGGATCAGATAACGTGTGTGTGTGTGGGTGATCCATTTGGTAAATGTCATGGGTAGGAGGAAGGGAAGCAAAGGCTGAGGCATTCCAGAGCAAAGACCTTGTGAATGGCTTCTAGGATCATGCACTGATCACATGTTCTGAATGTTGCCCAGTCAGGACATCCTGGCCAAACAGTCTTTAGTCTCAGCCGGACTCTTTCCTGGAAGGATCCCTCATAAATAAATCTTGTATGAAGGGAATGTAAATGGCTTTTTATAGGAATTCTTGTTTACTCTGGCTGACCTTTGAGCCACAGGGCTCTCCAGTTAAAACTACATTTTTTTCTTTTGATGTCTTTTCATTAGTAATAACAAAAATATTTGGCAAGGCATGCTTTTTGTTTTCAAAAACACCTGTCTTTTTCTTTATATTGGGCTACATCAGCCACTCAAATTTATAAGTTGAGAACTTCTTCCCATTTGGAGGGGTCTGCTGGATAAGCTTATCAGCACAGGCACAGTTCAGACTCTATATATGAGAAGAAGAGATTATGTCCTACGCATAAGTCCAACTCTAGTCAACTACCTACCTCACCATATAGGCAGGGAAGGAGACATTAGTCTGTTTTTTTCATTTTGCCTAATATTAGACACAGGTGTTAAAATGATGGTTACTCAAATGTTGAATCTCAATAAAAAACACGGCTCCCTAAATAACTCTCAGTTATAGCGTCTGGAAGCTTAAGTAAGGTTTCCCAAGAAAGCTGTGTAAAAACAAGTATTTACTAAGCAGATCTAGTATAATTTAATGGTGAAAATACCGTTCTTTTAGAGCTAAGCTTTTCAAAACAACTGTGCGATACATTACCCAAACAACTGTTCCACAAGTTAGAGAGATTTCAGAAGTAATGAGTTGGATATATCTAGTAGTCCTTTTCACTAAAAGACCACTGTAAAATATACTGAGCCTGGGATCTCATGTCCGCTGGGTCAGCTAGAAGAGCTGTACCTCTATGATTCAGAAGATTGAATCATTACAAATCAACATACCACAGCTCTTGTTGGACACTAAGTTGGCAGAACTTTCTACAGAGCAACGTGACAATTTGCAAAGTCTTAAATATTCATACCCCTTCACTCAGTAATCTTCCTTGTTTCAGTCTCTATTTAAAGAATACTAAAATGCTGGGATGCCTGGGTGGCTCAGTTGGTTAAGCGTCTGCCTTCAGCTCACATCATGATCCTGGGGTCCTGGGATCAAGCCCCACACTGGGCTCCTTGCTCTGTGGGGAGCCTGCTTCTCCCTCTGCCCAACGCTCCCCCTGCTTCTGTTCTCTCTGTCTGACAAATAAAATCTTAAAAAAAAAAAGAAAAAGAAAACTAAAATGCTGACGAAGCTTTGTAAACAAAGATATTCACTCAACATTTTAACAATAGAAATAAGCTATAAATATCCAGTGTAATGGAATATTTGTCATTAAAAATGATTACAAAGACTTTTTAAATGATATGTGAAGATGTTTAATATATAATGTTAAGTGGAAGAAATCAGGACACACAATCGTATCTATAATATGGTATCAACATGTAAATACAACCACATACATATTAAAGACCAGAGGGATATACCTAAGAGTTGAAGCTCTTAGGTTGGAGTAGGCAAGGAAAAAGTAAAATATGTTTCATTTGATTTCAGAATCAAGAAGACTAAGGTCAGCTGGTAAAAAAATTTTTTGGGGGGGGGATAACAATATGATGGAGTTAGGAGGCATTACCACTGACTCTTGAACAATGCAGGAGGGTAAAAGGGAGCCAACCTCCTGGCACAGTTGAAAAAATCTGGATACAATTTTTGACTCTCCAAAAACTTAACTACTAATAGCCTACTGGTGACTAGAAGCCTTACCAATAATACAAGCAGTTGATTAATACATACTTGGTATGTTATATGTATTTTATATTATAATCTTACAATAAAGTAAACTAGAGAAAAGTTATTAAGAAAAGCTTAAGGAAAATACATTTATAGTACTGTTTAATATTTATTGGAAAAAATCCATGTGTAAGTGGACCTGCGTAGTTCAAAACCATGTTGTTTGAGGGTCAACTGTATTATGCTATATATGTCTCAAATATTATCAATTTAAGAATCTGCCAATAGCTTCTGCTAGGTTAGGCCATCCACATAGTTGCTCCTAGGTAACAAAGCAAAATAGGTTCAAAGCAGATCTTCTCCCTCCATTGTTGGTCAAACAACCACTTGAATTCAGAACATATAGTTTCAACTTGGGAGTTACTGGCTAAGTGAGTGTAAGACTGTAAACCAAAACAGAGTTTATCTCCTTACTTGTGCTTCATTATAAAGCATCATGCAATAGCAAAAATTATCAATCAGAGGGCACTCTATGTGGAACTATGAATTTGTTTTAGGCTAAATTGTTTTATATCTGAAGTAAACCATGCTTTAAAACTGAAATGAAATGAAAAATTGTAACCTAAATACAAATGACTATGTGCTTAATTTTCTTCCCAAGAATCAAAACTTAAATATTAACAAACTATACAATTAAAGTCCAAAAATCCAGAACTGTTGTGATTTACAGCATGTTAAGATCTACTCTATTCTTGGTAACCAGGTCTAAGGAAGAAAATTTAAGGGTGGAGTTCAGCAGCCCTGTCACTAGCTGGTGGAGCTTGGCTTTCTCCTTGGAGGGAGCAGTAACCAGACTCTGCTTATTACAAGGAGAACCTGCACTTAGGATAATTATGGCTCTGTAAGGCATGAGCAGCCAGCAGGCGGTATTTGAAACTTCATAGGCTTATTATCAGGTGGGAGAAGTACTGTAACTGAGAGCTGCCGGATGAAGAGACTGTGCACCACTGCAATCTGTCATCCTGTACTGTATTACTACCATGCTGGAGGGAAAGCAGGAAAAAGGAAGGTATTTTTCTTTAAACTTTTACAAAAGACATAAGGAAAAGAAACTAAAAATCAACCATAAGTCAATATCCAGAGATCGCCACTGTTAACATTTAGAAATACAGCCTTGTGGATTTCTTTCTGCATAAATATTATCCATATAAAGGAGGGTCTTAGTTCATACACAGAAATCATTTCTTTTATTGCCCAAATAAAAGGGTGCTGATTTGGTAAGAAGGCATATTTTGAATACAAAAATTAACGAGTATTCATTTTCTCTCTCTCCCCCCCCACATAGATCTGAACCAATATAAGCAGATTTAGCTACCTCTTAAAATGACTATATCATGATTGCTTAACAATATGAGATAATGTTGACATTTCTTTTAAACTCATCATCTTAAGCACTAAAGAAAAATCAAATGAGAATTTTTGTAATTTCTATTAACGTTACCTGTTCTGAAAATCTGCAACCATGTCCCGCCTCTCTGAGATCTTGGATGAGCCATCAAGCCTCATGTAGGTATGCTTCCTGTAAACCATGTATTCCTGCCAATCAGAGTAAACAAACAGAAGCTGGATGCAAATTACTGTATTCTAATTCCCATAACATCTACCCACCTTCCACCTCATCTTTACTGGGGGCAAGTCATTATATCCAGAATAAGAAGAAAGTAATCTCAAAAGTACAAGAACTTAACTTGTAAATGAATTTACTGCCAGTATGTGAAAATTGAGGGCATCGTGAAGACCACAGCCACCCTCAATTTCAACTTGGAAACTAATCATATTCTTGCAGATTTCAGTAGGTTTCATGAAAATAAACCAACAAAGTAAAATGAAATTTCCAAACAAAAATTGCCATTCAGTCAGCGACCAGATGTTTCTCACAGCTATGGAATATCTAGTTTTCTTTCCGTAAGTATCTTGCTCTAGTGTTTTTCTCCCCAACATATCCTCGCTGACCAATATCCTTGAATTTAAAGCCCAAGTTTCCTTCTTCAAGCAGAGCATGCATCATTGTTAAGGGAAGTCTAAGCATCAGAGTGAATCGAAGACAAGGTAACTTTCCATGGCAGAGCATGTTCTGGACATCATCTCTAAGAGGAATTACAACTTTTAAGAATGGAGAAGAAACTTCAAGAGATGCAATGGAGAGAACATAATGCCATTTTTAGAAGCTACAATGCCTCTTACAGATGATGTCCAAATGAGCACTGATTTCCTCTTTCTTACCCCTGATTATATGGATTACACTTCAAGAAGTCCATTTGTAGAGGAACCACTATCAAAAACTCAACACAGCTGCCTATTTATAAGAAACAACATGAAACAATTATTTCAGTTCTAAAATAACCTTTTCCTATTGAAAAAGACTAGTTATTTCTACATTTGGGAGATGTCTGTGTTAATTCTCTATGGTCAAATGTTTGTTTGTTGCAATATTCTCTTATGTACCTGTTATTATACCTGGCTGGGTATTTCAGCACACAAGGTTGCTACAGCTGGGTACGGCTGTACAGTGCATGTGGCAGCCCACTCTTAGAGCAAGTTAGTACCAAAACTCCTTCAATGGCTTGGCAGAGGTCTCCGGCTAGGGTACCTACGAGGTGAGGCTGGTCAACAAAGTAGACAAGCTCATCGAGGCACACATCTTCATTGTGGTTTGTATACGTTTTTACTATTTCCTTCTTTCTCAAGTGGCTCTTTAAGGGCTTTGATAATCAAAGAGGGGTAGAACATATTCAAAGAGTTTCAAGTTCATATTTAGTGGTATAGCCCTGTAATGAGACTGGATTAATAGCAGAAGAGTAGGGGTATCTTTAAGGAAGGATTCAGGAAAAAAAAGATGAAAAATGCGAGCATGAGGATAGTCTTTAGAGGCTCACTATAGCTTGGCAGCTAATTTAATCAAGGGATGCTGCCATCCAGAACAACAAAATAACTAGATTATACACAGAGACATCCATAGGTTGGACTTCTACCACAAGGTGGGCTTTCTGCACAGGCACTCCTGCCTTCTGAACCAGAACTTCTAAAGAATGAATCTTCTTGTAGATCTTACTGTTGACATCAGTTATATGTCAAGGTCAGCATGACACCAGAGATATTAATCCTAGACCATAATCAAACCAACACTGATTACACAGAGCCTGTAACTGAGGCAACAGAAGTGAATCTTTTCCGTTTACTGCTTTAAGCCTTTGCTCTCCCACCCAGGGAAGCAGTGGGATTTCAGGAGGCTTAGATGAGTTTAGATCTGATTTCAGTAAATAGCTTCAAAACAAGTAAATGGACATGGAAAAAGAAGTTAAAAGCAGAATAGAGGAGGGGCGCCTGGGTGGCTCAGCCGGTTGAGCGGCTGCCTTCGGCTAGGTCATGGTCCCAGGGTCCTGGGATTGAGCCCCGCATCGGGCTCCCTGCTCGGTGGGAGGCCTGCTTCTCCCTCTGCCTGCCACTTCCCCTGCTTGTGCTGTCAAATAAAAAATAAAAAAAAAAGCAGAATAGAAGAATGTCTACATCCTCACACCACAGAAAAACAGCTAAAGGATAAAGGCAGAGATGAAAAAAGAGCAATTCAGTATTTCCTTCATTCAAATATTCTGGCTATACCAAAGCTCTTCTAGATGTGTCTCTAAAATTCTGCGTGGTTTAGAAAAGATACTTAATTTAATCTGGAAAGAAATGCCTCATTTCTTTCAAATGCTAATTTCAAGACGTGCTCACTTCTATGTTTAGTTCAGCTTTCCTATGATCTAAAAAATCTAAAAATTCAGAATAAAATCAAATTCTATCTTGTTAAAAGATATTTTTATCAAAAAGAATTTGTGTCAAAACACAAATTCTAACAATAAATGACAAGTTATAGCACTGGGTATATTTTACTTATTTATATTTAAGTAATCTCTACACCCAACGTGAGGCTCGAACTCATGACCCTGAAATAAGAGTCACATGCTCTTCTGACTCAGCCAGCCAGGCGCCCCTCGAAAATTTATTTTAAAAATCTATTTCATACACACACACACACACACACACACACACAAACACACACACATATATATTTAACAATCTCTACATCATAAGGTTTTCTAAGATCCATTTTAAATATTCCATCATGCCCCAACTCTTTGTAGTTCATTCCCATGTCTGACGACCACTACTGGCTCATTACCACTTGCTGGATGACTTTACGATGGCCTGTAGGAACTGTGTTATGCTTTGCACTCCTGTGCATTAAAGAAGGCTTACGGAACAGAAAGACAAACCATTATCCAGTCCTTCTTTACACAAGGTACTCTGTAGACATCAAGGATATCTCTCACCCAAGTCCCTTTTGGTATTTAGGAAAGACTTAGAACATGATCCACCAGTATGATTAAATTTCCTGGAGCTTTGTAAAGCAATTCTTTTTGCTCCACTTAAGCAAAGAAAGAAGAGAAACCAAATACAGACCTTCTTCCTCTTCCAGGTCTCATAATTTAGTATCCTCCTTTAATTAAATAAATATGATCAGTACTCTCAAGTGGATTCTTGTGGATCAATAACTACTAACCAAAGTAAATCTAATACTGCTTGAACTAATAAAATAAAAATTATGGCTTTTCGGGCACCTGGGTGGCTCAGTTGGTTAAGGGACTGCCTTCGGCTCAGGTCATGATCCTGGAGTCCTGGGATCGAGTCCCACATCGGGCTCTGCTCAGCAGGGAGTCTGCTTCTCCCTCTGACCCTCTTCCCTCTCGTATTCTCTCTCATTCTCTCTCTCTCAAATAAATAAATAAAATCTTTAAAAAAAAATTATGGCTTTTAACATTTAGGAAGTCTTGAGAGCTATACAGTCCTAGTAGATACTATTTTTAAAAATTATTGTAGAAGCCAAAAGAGTTAGGGACGAGATGTACTCCTGGTATTTGAGTAGTGATTCTCAACCAGGATTAAAAATACATGTGCCTGGACCCACCCCAGGGATTCAGACTCTGTAGGTCTGGGAGAGGGCCTGGACTGGTTTATTTTTAAAAAGCTCCAAAGATGAGTGCAATAGATACCCTATATCTGCAGCTGAGAACCACCACTACAAAGAGAAGGCAGGACAGGGGTCCCTCAGAATCTTGCTATTGCAGCATGGCTTTCAGATAAGCGGCACTGGGAACACCTGCAATTTGTTAAAAATGCAGAATTGAGGAGCACCTGGGTAGCTTAGTCGGTTAAGCATCCGACTCTTGACCTCAGCTCAGGTATTGATCTCAAGGTTGTTGAGTTCAAGCCCCATGTTGAGCTCCATGCTGCGTGTGAAATCTACTTAAAAAAAAAAAAAAAAGACAACAAATGCAGAATTGAGGGATATACCCCATAACTAATGAAACAATTTGTGTTTTAACATGTATTACTTGTAAGTACTTCTCTCAAGTTTGAGAAACACTGTTGCAGAACAATATCCTTATACTATTTTAAAAGCAGTGGAACTTTTTCTTTTTCCAAGTGAAATCTTGTATGAAAACCCTCTAGGGGCTTCTGGGTGGCTCAGTCGGTTAAGCATCTGCCTTTGGCTCAGGTCATGATCTCAGGGTCCTGAGACTGAGCTCCACATCAGGATTTCTGTTCAGTGGAGTCTGCTTCTCCCTCTCCCTCTGCTTGTGCTCTCTCTCTCTCTCAAATGAATAAATTCTTAAAAAACAAAAAAAAGAAACCCGTCTAATATAAAGTAGATAAAAAGCATTATTATTCTGGTTGATGAAGAAGGGGGAGTCCAGGGCCCCATCTGCTTAATCTCTACCTAAGTTTCCTGTCCTCTATCCCACCCTACCAGTTTGAAAACCACTCTTGAAATACACATTGAGAAGACAAGTCGGCTCTGGATCTTATCTGTAAGTTACTTTTAAAAGCAGTAGCTGCAGAGGTATCAGTATAACTCAAAATACTTTCCACAAGTACCTCTCACTCCTTTAAAGTGCACTAAATGAAGGCAAACATTCACACACCCAGTGGTGTATTACAAGGGACTAGGTTCATCTTGAAGTAGGGGTGATGACGGTGGCTAGCATTTACTGAGCATTTACTAAGCGACAAACACTATTCTGTCTGTGTTTTGCTTATCTAATCCTCACATAGTAGTCTTTAAGATAGGCGTTGTTATCGGCCCTCCCACGTTACAGATGTTAAGTAAGGTCTCTAACAGTTACATAGGCAGCGGGTAATGTAGCTTGGACTGGAACTCAAGTTAACCGGTGCCAGAGCCTCTGGCTTAACCCCTTTACTGCTTTCCACACGGAACAGAAGCTCACCACCACTAGGGAAAAGAAGGTGGTTGTGGTGTGTCAGGGAGAAGCCATATAAGGTTCTTAATACATGTTGTCCATAATCTCCATCCATTATCATCATAAAAAAAGGATAACTGGGCATTTGAAAAAATAAAGGCAAATGTTTGTATATCTCTAACATGAACCTTCCATTCTGAACCTTCTTTTCTATTTCAAAGTTGCCTCTGCTGTTCTCTTCAACCCAATTTCACTTCCCCACTTTGGGGGAAAGACTCAGTATGATCCACAAACCTCAAGTCCTGATGTAACTATTTCCTGAACATGCCACTTTCCATCTTTGGGGTATATCAGCAGCAAAAAGTAAGGCTTCTCTCAGTCTCTATTATAACCTCTCCGTTGCCCAAACAAATTGCACCAAATGAGTGAAATATGGCAGCCATCCTTCCCTTATCTAACACAAAGAGTCCTTTGGAGCAAGACCTAATCACAAGGCATACATAGGCCCATCATAATCTGCCTTCACCCTATGTGTATTATTCCCTTTTCTCCTATACCATAAACTCCAGTCACACTGCTAGTCCACCCCAAATGTCTTGTACCTTCCCATCTCTGTGCCTTTTTACATCTGGCTTCCTTAGTCTGGAATGCACTTCTCCCTGATGGTTAAAATTCTATTTAAGTTCAGTTCAAAAGTCACAATCAATGGGAACCCTTCCTCAAGTGACCCAGTTAGAAATAAATGTATCCATCTTGCTATCTTCAGCTCTGTTTATGGTTCATTTTGGGCACTGGTATCAGGGTACACCTGAGAGTTGTGTGTGTGTGTGTGTGTGTGTGAGATATATCCTCCACCAGATACATTTCTTGAAGTCAAAGACCACATTTAATTTAAATTCACATCTGCCTAGCACAATGCCTTCCTCATTCTCGACATGAAAAGAAATGAATGAAACTGAATAAATATAGTGTGGTTGTAAGCTGACACATTTCCTTCCATCATTCCTAAAGCCTAATCAAAATGCTAGTTAACAGTGACCCCAATTTGCTTTTCATTCTGTGGGGCAGTTTTAGAATACCCAGCTTCCCAGTATGCTCAGAATCAGCTCCCAAAGGTAACTGGGAGTTCTAGGAGTAGCCAGCTCATAAATGATAGAACGTCTGTTCAGGATGAATCCTATCCAAGTGAGGTACTTGCTGACTGGGCAAGTTATGTAACCTAGTGTCTCAAATGTCATCATTAGCTATAGATTATCTGGATTTAATTCTGTATTATACTATTTTCATACACTGGTGCAGTACAAAATCTGTCTGGGTTTCAGTACTTAACAATCACACCACATACAGTACCAGCTGGCTGACCCTTTCCAAGTACTTTTGTATTGCATAGAAAATACTGACGCTTATTTCCTTAAACTACAGACTCAGCTGCTTGATGCAACAGGAATGAACCTCAAATGAGACAACCCAGAGATGATGTAAGTCATCTGTAGTGAGTTAAAGCTTTTTGCAACTGTCAGAATATGGTGGTAGGGGGTGGGGAGGTTCCAAACTCGAGTGAAAATGGTGGTGGTAGGAAAAGTTCTAACATCCTGCTAGACACCATCATCCCAACTGCACAAAGGCCATGTCTGCTTCCACAGTACCCCCACCAGCAAAGACCCTACAAGTGACTCAGTAAATGTAAAATAAATCCGTAACATAACATTTAGTGATCTAGCATATCCTCCCCTATCTATGGCTTTGACTTCTGCCTGTGGCACACTAAAAATTCCTGGCCCTGGAAGTTTAGCAGTCTGCTTTTTTATCCCCTATCCAGAAACAGTATTTAGATACCATGGGAAAGAATAAGACATTCCTGAATACAGAATTCTATTTGGAATAAGATCTGATATATTCACAAGAAACTTAAATTAAAGTCAGATTTTTGCGCAAGAGAAAGAGGCTATCAATCACTTCAAAAAAATACTGAGCAAATACTAAGTGCCCAGAACTAGTATTTCTCCCAAAATGGAAACCTGGTCACACAGAAGTATGTGTATTTTTACCATATTTTGGTTCTTCTGAGTCCTAGAAACAGACAGATAGCCAAGGTGAAGGCACAGAACAAAAAGCCCAAAAAGGCTGTCGGATGAAAGAGACGCTGATCTGCTCCACAGTTAAACAAAAGAGCTTCAATGCCCCCACATGAGTTTCTAACTTCTGCTCTATTGGAAGCTTTTCTTTCTTTCTTTTTTTTTTAAAGATTTTATTTATTTATTTTACAGAGAGAGAGAGAGCACAAGCAGGGGAAGCAGCAGGCAGAGGGAGAGTGAGAAGCAGGCTCCTTGCCAAGCAGGGAGCCTGAAGCGGGGCTCGATCCCAGGACCCTGGGATCATGACCTGAGCCAAAGGCCGGCGCTTAACCGACTGAACCACCCAGGCGCCCCTACTGGAAGCTTTTCTTTCCCTCTTTGATATACAAGGTGTAAGATGTCAAGGTAAAAAAGAGAATCCTGGAAAAAAAATTTTTTTTTAAATCTAAAACTAACCAAACAAACCCACAACACACTGAGGATGAAGAAGCAAAGCAAGGGTCAAGGTTTGTTTTTGTTTTTTTTAAAGAAAAGGTCAAATGTACTCAAGGGAACGCATCTATACAGAAGGGCCTTTCTATAACATGATCCTTAGGTTCACATGCCAGGTCATGTTTTAAAGCTGAAACATGGCTCTAATGAATGTTTACAGTGAAAGTTTCTATTATGACAATGACTAAAAAACCCAGAATAACTCTTTGAAAAGGTCAAGAAATGGAGACCTAATCCTGCATTGCCGTAAGATCCACAATACATCTACATTTCAATAAATGATTAGACATATATTAAACACTGTGGGCATTTTAAGTCCATGCCCACAAAATAAATTTTGAGGATTAACCTCTTGAAATACAGAATGTGGTTCATTTGAGTAAACAGTATTAAAAAAAAAAAGGACGAATGAACTTCTAGGAAATGTAATGTTGAAGGAAAAAGAATAGTAAAGTGTTTAAAAAAAACCTAGACAACAGTTTCACTTCAGTTTTTCAGTAAAACATGTAAACGGCTGCAACATTTTTTTGGCTTCAGCATCCTAGATGCATGTTATCCATACGGCTAAAGAATGTTAGCAGCTGTGAAATTCAGTTTTCCCTAATTTCGAATTCCCCATAGAGAGATCCAACTGTATTTAAAAGGTTCTCAGGCTGCCATGTTTGCAAAACCTACCCACATCATCCACATCCCCACAAACCTCTCCAAAAAACCTGCTGGATTAGAAAGAGATAGGAAGTGACCCTGGTGGGTAGGGTTTACAGCACTCATCCTGAACAAAGCTCATTAACATACTTTGAATCACTTATTTTGGTAATATTTAGGAGTACCTAGAAGTGTGTAATACATAGAACAAGGAACTAAAATGTAGGACTGTATCAGATTTAAACCATCTACACTTCCCTTCAGCTCTCAGACCTAGCTATTTTTTGGTAGCTTACCCCACTTACTCTTGAACTTTCCTTTAATAGGAAGCAACTTTTAGGACTCCAAAATACACCAACATAGTCTTTGGAAAAAAAAAGATCATCACTTCCCTTACAAAATCTTTAGCATACTGCTTTTTCTATAATTCAGTGCAAGATCACTACTTCATCTGTACATCCCTGACTCTTCAGGACAAGGCAAGTGCACTTTATCTAAGAGGAGCCCCACTGACGGAAAGTTACGCATATTGTTTGGGCTGTTGGTATCATTTGGTTTGAACTGAACGCTACAGATGCAGGCAGTTCCCTTTATTTTGGATTACTGCTCTTAGGACCTTTAACATAGGTAAAGATCTGCATCAAACACAATGGCTTAATTACTTCTCTTACAGTGATTTACAGCCACCAATAAGCATTTTTCCATCATTTAGAAATAGGTGACCTATTCCATAGGACAAAACAGAAAGTTCAGCCTGTTGACAGCATTTGAGGGGCCAAACACTGTACTAAATGCCAGACTTAGTGATTTGAGTGACCTCAAATATCATGTGTTATGTCCCTTGCTAAAAGAAGTTGCCAGATTATTAAAAAGAGCCTGCTACCGAATTACCAAACTACTGACTGAGAAATTCAGCCAGCCAGGCTTGGCTTCCAGAAACCTAAAACTTCTTCCCTACGCTAGCCTTCATTCCTTCTGTGCTGATATGATCCCTACTCCCTTATTCCTAGATAGGGATAATCATGGTCCAATTTCCACTTGTTTATTACCAGCTACTCCCTGGAGTAGCAGGGTTAGAATATGAAGCCTTAGCTACAAAAAGCCCATGGAAAAACATGCGAATATTTATACACTACTTACATCCAGGTGCTTCAGCCCCCCGACCAGCGGCTTTCCAACTTTCTAGCACTAAACACTGACTCTGGTGGTTTGTGATTATCTGTCCTCAGTTTCACTCTCCTATTTCCATGTCCTTGACTTCCTCTCCCTCAAGTAAGTAGCTTCCACTCACACAACAAGAAAGCAGAGAGAACATCAACACAGAAGGAACTGAAGAAACAGAAGGTGCCCTGCATAGGAAAACAAGTTGTATCTTTCAACATAACCTAGTGGTTCTCAACTCTGGTTGCCTATTAGGACCACCTCAGGAGCTTTCAAGTCTCCTGATGCCTAGGCTTCATTCCAAAGTTAATAACAAACTCTGAGGGTGGGACAGGGTATCAGTATTTGTTAAAGCTCCTCCAGGAGAATGCAATATGGAGTGAAGTTGAGACCACTACATTGAGTCAGACTGACCAGCGGCTCTCTCGTTTTTTATATAGAGAACTAATCCTAAATCGTGTTTTCTATACAGTATTTCAGAGGACTTCTTAAGTATTCCTAAACTCCAATCTCCTTTAAAATTAGGGAATTTCTAAGTAAAGGAAGGAGTAGGGGATGTTCTATTTCAATGGTGGAGGAAAGGAGTTCTTTTGCATATTCTCACATCTGCCAGGAGCTTCTTCTCCTCCCTTTATAGACAGTAAAATCACGAAGACAAGTTTTGGGTTCCCATTAAGCAGGACGGACATTAGTCATAGACATCTGATTCCTGCAAGTTAAATGTCAAGGTGTCCTAGGTGCCCAAGGTTCCTTCTCCTACCTCCAGCAGGTCTATCATCCTGGTCATCTGGGAGTAGATAAGGACCCTATGTCCTTGAGACTTGAGCCGAGTCAGGAGGACATCAAGGGCATACAGCTTTCCACTGTCAGTGATGAGGCTCTCCTTGCCTGGGGAGAAGAAAAGGGGGGGAGGAGGGGGAAACTGTATTTAATTGAAGCAGCAAAATCACTCACTGCAAAGCTGTATGCAGCCAAAATTACGACAACCAGGATGCTTGTCATCATGAGAGCAGGAAAGTAGAGAAGAAGGCAAAGCACTGTTCAATCATGATCCAGTAGGGCTCTGAGAAGAAGTATCCTGAAAGAGGGAGGTGTAGGCTCCCTTCCAACGGACAGTTCCCATTCAGATATCTGCTGCTAAGACAAATGAAAGCTTCCCTGCTCCATGTCCTTACTCAGGGGATAACAGGTACACATGGACATCTAAGAGTGAGGTCTATGTCATATCTGCTCTAAGTGACTTGAGAAACTTGTTTTTCCTTCTTCATCCTATCTCTAGATATCTGTTTCTGCTGGTTCTGTGGCTAAATGGTTTACATCTCCTGAAAGCATGAGAGTGTCGAGAAACAAGGGCTACTCTTGCCTGTCCCTGGAGACACTTAAATACCAAGAAATGCAAATACACACATATCCATTCCTGCCCCTCTGTTTAAATCCAAACTCCTTCTCCTTGATGATTTCAAATAGGTTGGCTGGGAAATCTCATTATCCTAAACTATAATTCAGTAAAGACACTAAGGTTTGTTCAACTTCTCAGAAGGACTGACTTTGGGTTTCTGTGAAATGGAAGCTGCTTTTACTCACTAACTTGCGCTTTCTCTTTCCTCTTCCCATTAAAAAGGAAAAAAAAAAAGAGCATTTTAGCCAGAGATCTTTACAGAGCACTTAACTCTCAAATTTTCATCTTATCCATTCAGTATCATTCATCTCCCATCACATTTCAGGAAGTAGAGTTTCCTGTTTGCAGACTGGTCCATAAACATGCCCTGAACAATCACTGCTACTAAGAGGGGGAAGAAATGAGGCTGAAGGGGCCAGGAGATTTTAAGAGTATTATGTGGAAGTGGCTGTGGGGTGCAAAAAGGGAGAGACAAAGGATAGAGAGATGACACAACTAACCACTAAAAGTAAAAAAGGGAGCTATTAAAAAAACCCATAGTTTATCCCTAGTTTCTGGGTTCGAACCCATGGTTGTTTCCCCTCAGAACTGCAGAGGCTGACTGTTGAGAGCAATCCAAGAGTTCTCAATGGATATTTCTCTGTTCTCGCCACTATCTGCCAAGTGCACAATCATTGTATAAACCGAACGAGAACGGATGTGCTGACAGCACCATAACAAATCATCAGCCCCTCTGTTTTTGCTACAAAGCCACAGGCCCTGGATGTTTACTCCTCTGCACTGCTGCTTGCCTTTTCCCACCTTCGGAACGCTGCCAGGCCACATCTCTCCCTCCACCACCCCCTCCCTGATGCTGTGGCACACACCTTTGTTCAGCCTCTTTGTTTGGTCCTGTTTAGATTACTGAAATGCTCTTCTTTTTGTTGATCTCCTTACCAACACAATCAAACGACTGCAGCTGGGACAGAACCAAATGCTAGGCCCTCTCCCTGGCACCAGACAAGGAGGCCTGTGTGAATTCCAAGTCTGATCAGGCGGCAACACTTTCCTAACAACTTCAACGTTTCTCCTTTAATTGGATACCCTGGGATCCCTCAATTTTGATAGCTCCTAAACATTCCCCAGAGTTTCTTTCTTTTTTCATTAAAAGCACAGGAAGGTGGAAAAAAAAAAAAAGAGAAGCCCATATATTTTTCAGTCATTTAGTAGAGTGGGCAAGCTAAGCTCATCAGATTTCTCCAGCAGTCTGCTTATCTTTTCTCTCCATTCACATCCACTCCCTCCACACAAGTATCTTAAAGTATGTAAATCTGTCTTGTGTCTGCATTTTGAGAAGCTTCATCTCAAAATCATGATTCAATGGTTTTCACACATTCCTGCTTCCCACATCTCCTTTCCTTTGCTAACTAGAACAAACTGATGCTAAGAGGAGGAGGCTCAGAGATGAAGATGCACAAAGAACTCTGATGCACCTGAAAGAAGCAACAGTGGTGCCCGTTGTTAGCTGTTCCTGTGTTATGTGGGAAGGGAAAGCAGATGGACTGGATTTCTTTGGACTACCCTGAAAGAAAAGGCCTAAGCAGAAAGAGACTGCAGCAACAGCCTTCGAATACTGAAGCAAGGAACAAGATTTCTGCTTCTCCGTTAAGCACATTGGCTCAGCACCCAGTACTTGTCCTTAGAAAGACAGGCAGAAAAAAATGGGTTTTCTTTCCGTGCACACATTGGGGTCTTTTGGGCCTGGCATCCATTACCCAATTTTTTAGGAGCTACCAAAGTTGCACTGGACAACAGCACCACCTGTTGCTAAGCAGGGCAAAGAGCCAAGAAGAGCACAATTCCCTAGAAATTAGGTTGATTGTGCCAAGTCAAACCTCTCTTTAAAACAGCATCTCAAAATGTTGTACAGACCTATCCTACTTTCTTACAATATTGTCTACGATCCTATAGTACAATCTTAACAGTATTTTCACTTAGACACAAGGTCTTACCGGCCACAGTATAAGTCTGCTTAGGGACAAAATGAATATATCCCATGGCAGTAAAACTAGGCTAATAGATGAAATAACTCCTTTTTCCTAGGAGAGGAGACTTCTGAAAGGACTATACACCTTTCTCCTGGTAAAACAGGGAGATGCATTCAAAGGTGTGAAACCCAGGAGATTTTGGTCTTTTGGGGACTATTAATGGAACCAACCCTTCCCAAGGAAACAGAAAATGTAAAAGTATAGAGAAAAAAGAGATAAAATACAGGTTCCAGTGACCCCACAACCCCCCACCCCTCGCTGCCCTGCCCCAGCCAGTCTACAGAGCACAATGGGGTCAGTGAGGAGCTGGTTGGTTCTCACAGTAAACAGCCAGTGAGGCTGGCGCTTTTTATCGATGCGAAAAGAACTCAGACACTTCCTGCTATTTAAACAAGGTCCATTTTTCTTTCAAAGAACAGGAAAAGCCACAAGAGATTCCCACAGCGCCAGCAGTAAGCTCTCTACTCCTATACTGGGAACTCAGGAGCCAGAGTGAAGAAGAGAGAAAGAAGAAATAGGGTGTTGTCTTGCTTCTTTCAACACCTGTGCTCATCTTCTGCCTGGGATTCGATGGTTTCCAGACCTGCTGGATTTTAGTCCTCTATTGCCACTACTAACCAGGCCTGCTTTACAACTGGGCTTTCCCCTTGTTTTCCAACAGTACACCTTCACCCACTGCTTTCAGGTATTCTAAGTCCGCTACGAGGCCGCACACTATATGGCTCTCAAAAACTCAAAATGGTATCTTCTAGTCCAAAGCACACCCACAGCTACTACCAGGCTGACCCAGAGTCCCTTGACACTTGGCAGATTCTCTCTTTTGAACGCTCAGCTCTAGTTTACTTCCATTATATCCAGTAAAAAGAATACAAAGTATCAGAGAATCTGGACAACCAAAACTGACATGGTAGCTCTCAACTACCACTCCAATCTGCCAGCAGGTGTAAGGAAAGAACATAAGCCTATGAACCCTGTGTTCAGTTTCCTCAAAAGTAGTCTCACTAAAGCAAAGATGAAAACCTAGTTTCCTTTCAACCCTCGACCTTGACTCTAGGAGGTCTGGGAATCTGCGAGCATTTTGGCACAAAACACAGTGTTTTTCTTCTGGTTATCATTCAGATCTCTAGTGCTCCGTGCAGGACACTGTTTATGCTACTTCAACTAGGCTTTCTGAGAGTGACGACATTCTCATTCAGCCTACTGGCAATGGCACAAGACAACTGTACTCACTCGACCTGGAGCCTTTCCTACCAAGTTTATTTCTACCCCCCCCTTTTTAAGGGTGGCATTCCTTTCTCAGCTGCAAGCTTGTCAAAGGAGAGTACGTAAGCACAAATCTAAAAAACATTTCTCTCTTAAGTCATAAATTACTTCAGTATTTTTACCTATAAAGTTAGTAAGGGCAAAACAGGAAACAAACCCCAAGAACTTTGAATTCCAAATATCTAAAGCCACCACATGGAGTATCTCCTCGGTTCCTCTTCCCTTGCCAGAGCGGGCAAAACGCCAAGAGAACAGAGAACTTACCTGGAATCCTGATGAAAGACCAGCCATTCTGAGGCCTGATGCTCCACAGTCCTCCAGCTGGCTCTGGGAAGAACTGGGACCGTCGATTTAGCCAATCTGCCGCCAGTTCAGGGGCCCCATTTAACAAACACTGCTTGGCTGCCAGACTCCCTCCTTCCTTCAGCACTCGCCGCTCATATTCTGCACTTCGGTCATTGCAGTAAGAATCCAATGGCACTGCGGTAACCTGCAGTGAGACACTCACATGAGATAGCTCTTGCACATTTCCTACACTCCAACTTTGAAATCAGTGGATAATTCTTAGGTTAGTGGTTTTAACTCCCTTGTTCTGACAAATAAGCTGCCTCTAATAGCTGATTCAGTGAGCTGGTCCAAGGAAAAGGCCAACCTCTTAATAACATGAATCTGCAGCAAACTAAAGATCCAGAGAGTGCTGGAGTTTGCAGAAAAACTGGGATACCAGGTCAGGAATAATTCTATCATGTTTGTATGCATCTCCGATCCAACTTTGCCACCTCCCCCCATTGCTGGATAGTGTTTTTGGCGAAGTTCTATTAGCCATACACAGAATGGGGAGATCAGAAAGGGAGCTGGAGCTACGCAGTCATTACTAAAGAACGAAGAGTTATTGGCCTGGTGCATTTGAAGCTATCTTTAATGCTTTCTGCCAAAATTCCCAAGTTTATCAAGACTTCTTTCTCCTCTTCCCTGACCAGGTTGCTGACTGACAAATCTAATGAAAGATAAGACAACCTTTCTTGTAGGCCACAAGCTGGGATATGGTGGAGGCGGGGTGGAGAAAGCAACTGCCTGAGACTGGTGGATTCATTTCCTGGCTAGGACAGAGGCTATGCACAAATTCTTATCTCCCCACAAGGTGCAGCAACACTGAAATGCTGCCCCTCTCCCCCCCATGGAATAGAAGGCTCCCGCCAATTAAGAAACGGGCTTTTTAATCCTTTAGTGATCTGGGTCTATTCCCACTCTAATAAGCATCTGTGTATTCAGATAACTGTGAAATCACCTGATTAGAAGCCTGAGTTACCTTCTGTTGAAATTTGGAGGCTGTGATTAGCTGCAAGCTCAGGCTGATAAAAATGCTAAAGTCCCATTATATGCACTAAATTGCTCAGAAAAACCCTGGAGCAAGACCAAGAAATGGGGAGAAATTGGGTATAAGGAGGAAGTGCAGAGGAATGAGAGAGATCAGAACATAGAACACTGGCCGTACCTAGTTAGCTAGTTTTATTGTTGCTATTATTTCCCAGAAGTGAGACATTTAGGAAAATATATCTTGCTATTAACTTTTCTATCTTCATGCCCATCAATCTTTAGGGCAATGGAATGGCTGCCAAGTTTTGGTATGCATAAGAACCTTCTTGGGAGCTTATCTAAAGTGCAGATTTTGATCCAGAAGGTCTAAGGGTCAAGCGAATAGCTCTAGGCTTTTAACGAACACCACGTCCCTCAGGCCAAGCCTTAATGCTGCCTTGGGGTACATTAACAGTCAGCCAGCTGACTACGGGGCTGCAGGTGTCTCTGCTGGAGACTAGAAGATACCAAAACAATAGAGCATCATTTACTAATACCACAGCGTCCTCTACTCTGGCTTATAGATGAAGCTGAACTGAGTTGGCTAGAGAACAGTGCCATCTACAGTCCAGACACAAAACTACGGGGAGGGGTCACAGCAAACTGGGCCCCTGCAGCTCCAAAACCCAGACAGGCTCACCTGTCAATCAGTTTCACACAGTACTAGGCGCAGGTGTTGGTAATCTCAAGTGGTCATCTTTACCCACTCCAAAAGGAGTATGTTCTCTTGCTTCCGACTTATTCCTTTTTCCCACCGAAAGCGGAACATAGCCGAACGAAGACAGAAATAAAAAACAGGTGGATAGGGCGTCTGGGTGGCTCTGTCGTTAAGCATCTGCCTTTGGCTCAGGTCATGATCCCAGGGTCCTGGGATCGAGCCCCGCATCAGGGTCCCTGCTCAGCAGGAAGCCTGTTTCTCCCTCTCCCACTCCCTCTGCTTGTGTTCCCTCTCTCGTTGTGTCTGTGTCAAATAAATACATAAAATCTTTAAAAGAAGTTAAAAAAATTTTTTTTAAAAAGGTAAATAAAAACTGGATCTTTCCTGCTATGGCCTGTCCTGGCAGTAACTCAGCAGCTATCTACCATCTAGAGTATGAGTCCCAGAACCTCACAATCAACGGTGGTTGTACTTTCATAACAGTGATATAAGCAGCAGTGGTTAGACTACAGAAGTTAGACTACTATATGACCAGTTCTATATAGTATATATACTTTTGGATAAATAAAGCATATTTACTCTTTTCTAACGAGACTTATACTGACCAATTTTACACTCAAACATAACGACTTTGTTTTTGCTGTTGTTATTTTGTAGAAAAGCAGAACTTATACTGGAATTATATAGACTTTGGGGGGCACCTGGGTGGCTTAGTGGGTTAAGTGTCCGACTCCTGATTTCGGCTCAGATCATGATCTCAGGGTCATAAGACTGGGTCCCACATCAGGCTCTGTGCTGGGCGTGGAGCCTGCTCAAGATTCTCTTTCCCTCTCCCTCTGCCCCTCCCCCACTTGCTCTCATGCACGCACTCTCTAAAAATAAATAAATAAATAAATAAATAAATATAAGGCCCAGATTCTCCAGATGAAAAGCCAAAAGCTAGAAACTCAGCACAAAGGAAGAGGGAACACTGACACAGGGAAAATGTTTTTCCTGCCTAGAACTGACTCCTAGGCACTCTTAAGAGTTTAAAAAGAAAGCAACTTTCTCCAGTTATAAACTTTCACTTATTTTCCAATTTCATTTTGCTGATATCCTTCCAAGTCCAGGATTGAAAACTAGGTGCTATGCAAGGCCCAGATCTTAGTGAAATATTTTTTATGTTTTGATAAGCTTCTTTGGCAGGAGCCCTGGATCAAGATATATGCAGAATCACAGAATTTCATGTCATAAGTACGTAAGCAGTGAACTCATGAGGTCCAAAAAGAGGCAAACAAGTCCACTTCTAATTAAACTGTGCTTCCTAAGTCAGCTCTATCCTAGACAGCCTCCACCCATTCTTCTAACCCCAAGTGGCCTTCCTGATAGCTCAGAAGCAGGGGGAGATGAAGCACGATACCATTCTTCCCTCCCCACAAATGGAAATGCATACTCTCTTCAGTCTCACATGAGCTAACCTCTGTTTCTTGCTTCATTAACTGCCTAAACTATAGTATCTTCAAGGGCTATCTCCTCAAGCATTTAGCGCGTCCTTCCCGAGGACGTGTATACTCCTGCTCTAGCTCTAGGAAGCGTGACCACTCCAAGCGCTTCAGTTTTTTGGTAAGATGAATTTCCAGGGTCTTAGTTTATTAACCCTGCAGAATTGTCTCCTCAGCTAATGAGAAAACAGCTCCTATAATTCCTTCTTTAGTGGCACAGTTCTTCCCAAACTCACCCTAAAGTTTCCACAGCACAAGACAGGGACATTAATTTGTTTTAGCTCAAGGCTAAGGTTAAGACTTCAAAGGAAGTCAGTTTTCCCCACCACAGTTGGGTTAGAAATCAATATAAGATAATCAAGGTATCTCAGGATTATTCACACTCCAGCCCTGATCTGAAAGGTAAAAGCTTGCGTATGAGTGTATAAATAAATATTCAGACATATTTAAAACTCCCCTTCCTGTCCATATAACCATGGTGTAATTACTCCCATTTCAGGTTTGGTATCTGCTATGTGAAGAAACTCTACAATTACAGAGGGAGGGGCTGAGTAGGAAAGGAGGGTGCTGGGGCAGAGTGCTTCAGCCAAATGATACAAAGTTTTCTCCTGTTCCCTGCCCGCCACCCCACCTTTATGCTATTCTAGCCTTCTTCAAACTAGTCACTATTTACTGTTCTTTAGGGAAACAGCAGCATCAGGTCCGATAGCTTAGATTTTGGGCTCCTCAGAAAACAAGTCTCCAGCTGTACAGCTGGGGTACTGCATGTGTATGTTGGGAGAGTGGGGTTGTTCTTCAGAGTGGTTGGCTACAGAGCTCTGAGTGGAACAAATGAAGAATTTTTATGCCTGTAAATGCAATGACAGCCCAAGGCAGCTCACTTTTTAATTGGCTCTATAAATCACTAGGGATATGAGAAGTAAAAATATCTAGACATCCCTCTCTGAAATCTAGACTTCCTCTTAAAAGGCCTCTCAGTATATACATCAGATTGGGAGGGTGAAAAGGAAATGAACCACACAACTATGAAACCTGAAGACCACTTTCTATAGAAGCAGCTGACTTTAGATGTTTTCTAGAAAAGGTGCATTTCCCTGCATTGACTTAAGCTTCAAAGACCAAAAATGCTTTGGAAGAACAGGATACATAGAAAATCTAAATACTTTTGGGCGCCTGGGTGGCTCAGTCATTAAGCGTCTGCCTTCGGCTCAGGTCATGGTCCCAGGGCCCTGGGATCGAGTCCCACATCGGGCTCCCTGCTCCGCGGGAAGCTTGCTTCTCCCTCTCCCACTCCCCCTGCTTGTGTTCCCTCTCTCACTGTGTCTCTCTCTGTCAAATAAATAAAATCTAAAAAAAAAAAAAAGAAAGAAAGAAAATCTAAATACTTTCTATTTAGATAGCCAATATAAATCACAGTTGACAGTGGCCTGGGAATCAAGTTCATGTAGTACAGGGTCAGCAGAAAGAAGGGAAGGCAGGCAGGAGTCAAAAGGACTCAGTACCACGATCATCTCATTTCCATTCATCAACTTTCTTGGGACCCCCTGCCAGATTCTGACCTTAGATAACTTAATAAAGGATGGAAGCTGATGTAAATAATGACAGAAAAATATCACTAAGGAAGATTCAAAAGGCTCTACCTTCTTTAAACGGAACTGTGAACACAGCAGACCCTCTAGAATGAGTGGAGAAAACAAGGTAAAACACAGAAGGGGGTGAGAAACATCGGCCTCTTAAAAGAGTTTTCCTGGCTAACTGAAAGATGCTCCTTAGAGCAAAAGGAAATGAGCCGGGAAGACAGAAACTTGTTCTCTGCTCTTACCACAGAGTCTGGCGTATCTCTACTCTGCCCCTCTCCCTTCACATACTTGTTCAGAGTTGTAAGAGAGCTTCTGTCTAGCTCTGATCAATGACAGCAAAGACTGGAAGAGGTAAGCAGAGTAAAAAACAGCACTGTGCGAAGGGGAGCCTTTGCAGCGATGCTGAGGGCAATCACCAGAGTGCCCTGCTTTGATAAATGGAGTGTTAGGAAGGCTCTAACAGGTGCTCAATGTTGAAACCACAACAGAAACTGCTCCCAACCTGCAAATAAAACTATGACTGTTGAATGGTGAAGAGAGAGCAACAGTCACTTTTCAGAGGGAACATACCCGTGAACCACAGTCTAGGCAGGGCTGCTGAGGAAAGCAAGAGAACATCAGACTAAGAAGTTTCTTGATGCTGGAGTGTTATGTTTCCTTTTGTTATCTGGAGACTGCACTAAGGCGAGAAGGCCAGATCAAATCTCCCTCCCAATCTGGCCCCCTCCTCTAAAAAGCCCTCAAAAACCTCAATGCAGGTAACAAATGGCTCCCTCTCCTTTTCAAATATTCCACTGTCCCTGACCCTGCTGTTTGGTGATAATCTGACAGATGGCTTGTTCCCATGGTAGTTTAGAGCCTGACTGAAGGAGAGGAACTACACACGAGAGATATGGTCAGGGAAAGAAGCCATTCTTATCTACCATAAAACAGTTCTCAAACCAACACAATTTAAAGGGAGGAGTACTGTCTTGGGAAAGCCAGGACCACGTACGTCCTCTAAATAGTGAGGATTTATGTTTCTCAAGGTCCAGCTTAAAACAGTCCTGTTTAAGAAATGGATCTCTTAAAAGAGGGTTTATTCCTTCAAGTATCATCTATTTTGTCTCTTCCCTCCTGTGGCACTTACTCGTGGACTGGCCACACACAAAAAAGATGGCAGTTCAGTGAGCAGGCAGCAACGAAGCGAGGAGGTAGCTGATCTCCGCTGATGGATGACCTGGTCTGAGTAGCCACTCACTGCTCTACAGTGGCTGCTGAAAACCAGAGACTACAAAACAGAAATGCAAATTAGTGCCACTGGCAAGTATGTTTTAATGCAAGCAAAATGGAAAAAATGTCACATATTAAACATCTGACTTAAACACATTCTTCTTAGTGAATATTATTAATTCTAATAAACAATAAACCAGTATTTAGAACCAAATGTATAATATAGCCAAAGCTCATGTTAATTTTAAACCATGGTTTTATTAATATACTGTAAGCCAAGTGGCATTTCTAATTCTACCTTTTTCTGGAAGAGATACTGTTAATTGTAAACAGTTAGAACATACCTTTCATTAGATAAAACAATGTATATGTGGGGGGAAGTTTGGTTCATTTGTTACACCATGGATGCAAACTCACGTCTTAAATTAAAAACATGATGGCCAACAATATTTCCTTCTAAATTTTTCCTCAAGGCCCATTTTTTTAAGTGATTTTATTTTTAAGTAATCTCTACAACCAACAACAAACTTATAACCCCGAGATCAAGAGTCGTATACTCTACTTACCGAATGAACCAGCCAGGCATAAGGCACATCTGTTTAGCATCACACATGTATATTAACAGTGCATGTACAACTGAAGTACATGGGTTTGAAATGTGTGGATCCACTTATACATGGTTTTTTTTTCCAAAAATAACTCAACAATACTGTAAATGTATCTTCCTTATGATTTTAATAACATTTTCTTTTCTTTAGCTTACTTTGTTGTAAGAATACAGTATATAACACATATACAAAATATGTGTTAACTGGCTGTTTACGTTATTGGTAAGGCTACCTGTCAACAGTAGGCTGTTGGTCGTTAAGTTTTTGGGGAGTAAAACGTTATACGTGGATTTTTGACTGCAGACGGGGTCAACATCCCTAACCCCTGCATTGTTCAAGAGTCAACTGTAGTTCTAGCAAGGTTAGCTGTTTCATTTATTCAGTGACATCAATACAAGTGGTCAGGAAAAGCAAACAATATTGCTTTCTTTTATCTGACTTTTTAAAAAATATTTTTATTTATTTGTCAGAGAGAAAGAGCGAACAAGCAGGGGGGAGTGGCAGGCAGAGGGAGAAGCAGGCTCCCTGCTGAGCAAGGAGCCCGATGTGGGACTTGATCCCAGAACCCTAGGATCATGACCTGAGCTGAAGGCAGCCGCTTAACCGACTGCGCCACTCAGGCGTCCCTTATCTGACCATTTTTTAAAAAACATAAATTCTTCATTTATATTACCTTATCAATACATTTTAACAGACTAAAAGCTCAGAGTAAAGCTTCAGTTTATAAGCTTTCATGAGAAAGATTTTTTTTAAAGTATGGAATGTTGGGGTGCCTGGGTGGCTCAGTTGGTTAAGGATCTGCCTTTGGCTCAGGTCATGATCCCAGGGTCCTGGGATCGAGCCCCTCAACAGGCTTCCTGCTCAGCGGGGAGGCTGCTCCTCCCTCTCCTCCCCACTAGTGCCCTCTGTTGCTATCTCTGGCTCTCTCTCTCAAAATAAATAAATAAAATCTTTTAAAGAAAGTATGGAATGTTCACATAAAAGAATCCGTCAGTGGGATTACAGTGTTCTTTACTGCAGACGCAATTCTTTCTTCAGTGCAATGTTAGACATTATATCTTTGGATCTTCATTCTTGATTACTTCACTTTTTTTCTTTATTGTTTTCTCAGATAAGGCAGGTTGGTAACCTAAATACCCATACAGATGAAGATAATACATACACAAGGTAGGCAAATTTATACATTGGTACAAGGTCAAGAAAACAAACTGCAAGATGAACAGTAACCAGGACTCTGTACAGAAGAATAGTTATAATTCCAGTACCAAAAGCTTCCAGGACCGAATCTCTTCAAGGCTTCTTTGTTTGGTAGGTATCTTTTCTCAAAGTAAATGGGCTCTTCAGGATCACACTTTGGGAGAGGCCATCTTAAGTTGTCTAGCAGGATATGTGTATCATAATCTGTTTTCCAAAAACCAATCAGCATTTTCTGAATAATGGTCATGAACAAACTGAAAGGCCTGAACTGTTTCTAGGAGAGTTGGGCTGTCTCCAGTGGTTTCTAACCACACTGTATGGAAGTCTTTACAATGCTTTATTACAACATTAGGTCCATGTAGCTTTGACATGTTTGATATTTTCCTCTAGATGTGGACGTCCCTGTCGGTACCCAGAAAAGAATTTTAACCTTTTGAGTTTTTCAATAATATCTGCGTTCTCATCTTTATGTTGGCTAGCATCTGCATTGAAGTTCATCTGCCTCGCTACATATTTATGTCCATTACCTTCTGAATGCCTAGTGTGAGGATCATTACAAAGATTATTAGTCCAGGTATCACCCTGTTCTTCCAATACTAGATACTGGATAGGTAAGAACATATACTTAAAACAATCCTATTCCTAATGCACAGATGAAGATAGTCCATCCTCTTGTTTTCTGCAAGCACATTTTCTATTATTGGTGGTAACCACCCTTGCCCCTCCTAAGGGGTGGAGAGAAAAGAGTCTAGTTTACTGCTCATGTCATTGAGCTACAGTAGTAGTTCAGGACTGCTAGTTAGGGTGTCTACTGCCACTCAGAGGCTGAGGCAGCAGCAGTAGCTGACCTAAAGACCTCTGAATTGCTTACTAACTTCTAAAGAGCAGTAACTAAACAATGTCTCTGCCAGGGATCTCTTAAAGTCACCCTCATTTTAAGTATTCTCAAATGGCAAAATTCAACAAAGTCTGTTTCTTATTTCATTCCTAGAATATAAAGGTAAAAGATGAAAGAATGAACATTTCCTTCAATTATTTTCTCTTCAACATTATAGTTATTAGCAAGAAAGAGTTACAACAGTCACTGTAGGGAGTCCTTTTAACACAGTATGTTATTTGTGACACCTTTCCGGAAAAAGTCAAATGATAATTCTACTCTCAGGGGTGGTCATTCCCAAAATAAAACATGCTCACTTGTCTTACATGAGCTAGGTTAAAATGATATTCTCACTGGAAGTCACTAAAGGCAGGGTGATTTGTAGCTTTGATTTTAGATTAAAAAAAAATTCACTAGCTCAAAATGCTCATACACAGCCTTAGCTTTAGAGAAACCCTGACCACCTCCAGCATATTTTACTCAGTCTATACTTTTCTACATTTTCTCTTAACCTTGGTTCCCTCAATTTCTTCCTTAGGATAGGTGGTCCTTAATACCACATTACCCACATTCCCTTCACATAATGACACGAACTACTAGACACTGCTACCCACAAAAAAATTTAATGTTTAACACAGAAGAACACAAAGGACACCTTAAACACCACTGCATAAGATGCTTAGGTGAGTAGGTGAAGGAGGGACAGAAAAGAAGTTTCATTACTGCTTTAGTCTGTTTTGGCCTAGAACAAATTAGAAAAAAAGACACAGAATGTCACACTACGGGAGACATGATTTGGTTATGACGTGGGCACAGGTTCTGCTGTTCTGTTGTCCCTTCCTCATGCTCTTGAGGGTCTTCATTACCCTGTAGGCACTGGCAGCTGTATGTGTCTTGCTACCAGAACGACAACATGCACATAGCAGAGAAGTTAGGCTTTTGTCTTTTGGCACTACGCAAAAGTCTCAATGGAAAATAAGTAGGGCAGGAAGACAGGCCCCCCACCGTAAACTTCTTGCCACAGTACAGCACAGGAAAAACACACAGATGTTTTCCCCTCAGATACAGAGTTACCCACTTAACAAGGGACCATATTTTATTCTCCATGTCTTGTTTAAAATTAAAAGGAACATTTATGTTACCATCAGGTCCTCATTACTCAGAAATTAATTTTCTGCTTTTGTTCTTAAAGAATACATCAAACATAGGTACAGAGAAAAGGTCTCACTTTATTATTATTATTATTTTGCTTTTTAAGCTTTTATTTTAATTCCAGTTAGTTAACTTACAGTGTTATATTAGATTCAGGTGTACAATACAGTGATTCAACATTTCCATAAACCACCCGGTGCTGTCACGACAAGTGCACTCCTCAACAACCTTCCCTCAACCCCCTTCCCCTCTGGTAATTGTCAGTTTGTTCTATAAAATTAAGAGTCTGTGAGGAAAGGTCTCACCTTAAATGAAAGGGTGTAGTGTTTATAGATCAACTGCTAGACTAAATGGATTCTATTTTCAGATATTTTAAGTGACCAAACAAAAAGAGAGAAAATAAAGCACAGAAAAACCCTGAATACAATGGCTTCCCAGAACTTTCCACAAGGGGCATTGGCAGCTTTCATGATCTCAGGAAATAACATATATAAATACTCTAGTTGCAAATTAACATTTAGCAGATGAGTTTTTTAAAACTTCCTGTTTGGGATTCTTCATCAATAGCCAGTCAAAGCTCTCTAAGCATAAAATAGAGAACAGTGTTTAAAACGTACACACACACCACTCTTTTCAAAAACAATTCCTTATGTTTAGACCCTTTTGCTTATTTTAAATTGCAAAATCTGAACTGCCCCCAATTTTTTATGACCTAGCTCACAAAAACTGTGGAGTATGTAAAGCTTTTGACACACATGCTGCCTAAGTGGCTATTACCATGACAACAGTTCCACTGAGACAGATACAGGAGATGGAATCAATGCTGGTACAGGTTTCCCTTGCTACCCGAAAGTAGAGAATTCCTCTGAAAACTTTTGTAAGCTGAAATAGCATAAAGCAAAGAAGCAATTACCATTAAACTCTATGGAAAAATTTTTGAGCATTCCCGGACCCCTCAAAATAACTCTTTTCGGCTTTTCCGATACCTTAGGACACACCTCGCTAACAGATGCACAAAATAAACTGAGATACAGCGCAGACGCACACAGACACGGTTGAAAGCTATGGCAGCTGGATGCTGAGTCCAGTGCCTGGGCAGGGAGCCGGGTGGTGCCGCTCTCCCTGCTCCAGTACACAGGGCTCTGAAAGGGCTCCGTGCCAAACAAATGCTGAATGCTACTTCCGCTTTTTGCCTTTTTTTGGAAAAAGCAAAAGTCCTCTTCA